TCTGGAATGTTGGGCATAGCAGTATCAAGATGATTCCAGGAAGGCTTCACCTGTCACCTTAAAAACGCACTGAACCAGCTGAGGCAGGCAGGCTTCACCTCCCCTCTGGCAGCGGGGCTGTCAGGGCTTCATGAGTGAGCTGGTCCTCCTCGCTGGCGAGGGCTCTGGAATCTCTGTGGCATAATTCACAGCCAATTAATCTTGTCAGGCAGCCTGGTAAAGCCAGCTCTAGCTCAGACATAACCTTCCAAACAACCACCCCAGCAGCCGTTGTCCCATTGGTGGAGCAGCTCGCCTCAAAATCTTCATTATATCTTTAAAATCAGACAAAAGATAGGGTACCTGTTCTCAAGGACAGGGGTTACAACCTCGGAGAGTAGATATATTCTGATAGTTTTCAAAACGAGAAAATTCAACCTTTTTGTAACAGAATTTTGAAAAAAAAAAACCCTTCAGAATAAAATAACTGTTTTTCAATACCCATTGTGCTTAAAGCTTGTTAATGAAGAAGAAAAACTCATCATAGCCATTAGGAAAAATGTCACACACACACACCGCCCACACCCCCAGCAGCATGGTGTCACCTGTGGAAGGAGAGACGTGGGCGGGCTGTGGGTACTGTCCGGTCTCTGAACCTGTGGGAGCTGGGCTGAGTCACAGGTATAGGAGGGCAGGTGCTGTGGGCAGGGAAAGGGCAGAGGGAGACCGGCAGCGCCCCTCGGCCTGAGATGTGCTGAGGAGCGAGCCCCCACCCAGCACCGTGCGGTTCTAGAGAGCAGCAAAAGCCAAGCTCGGATGCCCGTCGTTCAGGTGGGTCCGAAGCGCTGAGATGTGCTGCGTGGTTTTCAGCCCCATGACCGTGCTGAACCCACTAACGTCTCCGCAGAGCACATTCAGCTACCCTTCACCGTCAGAGCGGGCTCAGAGGCGCCTCTTTAAACCAGAGTAGCCCAGCCACCAGGAGTGAATTGAGACACATGGAGGAGAGCTTGCATTTTCTGAAATAAGCCTGAAAGCCCTAAGAAGACAGTGCATTTCTTTCCCTGTTAGTCAAAGGTATTTATATTGTCTTACTTGAAATCTTAAATGGAATTTTTTTTTTTTTTTGGCAAAAAAAATCTGCATTCAAGTCTGAAATGGGATCATGGACTCAGATAAAAGGGTAAAAGGGAATCGCATAGCTTCTTGATAGACACTCGCATTTTACAGATGAACTTAGGCTCAGAGAGTTTAAAAGAACTCAGCCAGTGGGTGGGGCGGGGAATCAGAAAAGGTAGATGCATCAGTTAATCAGCAGATCAATCTAATCACAAAACAAACGTGGATGAAATGCAAGGGTGCCAGCCCTCCCCCCAGGATAACAGGGATGTGCAGAGGCCCGGAGAGCTCTGGCCATGCGCAGAGGCAAGGCCCCTTGGGCTGGCCCCACCGGACGCGGAGCAGAGAGAGCCAGCCCCTGGCGCGGCCCTTCCTGTGTGCCGAGGTGCCTTTGATTGCATTTTCCGTGTATCACAGACATCCAGTCAGGAGCAAGATGGAACAACTGAGCAACAGTAACTACACAGTAAAACAGCAAGGAAGACGCTCTCCTTAAAAAAAACTGGTAACCTGAGACTCTTCCAGGGGCCACTGGAATACAAAATCTGCCTGGAGTGTAATTAATTAACTGAATTCACTATGCTGTGAAGATAGCTGTGATGTTAATTGCAATACTGACATTAGGGTATTTATAGAATGGGTATTTGATTCTTTTTTTTACACAAGTTGGCAAATACGGTATTATGGGCTGAACAGTGTTCTCCCCAAATTCACAAGTCAGCCTCCTGCCTCCCAGTGTGACTGTGCATGGAGAGGTAAGTTAGGATGGGCCTCACCCAAGAGGACCAGTCTTGTCTAAGAAAAGGGGAATGGGACAGACAGGTGCTGGAAAGGACTATGCCTAGATGGACAGAGGAGACCACCGTCGGGATCAGTTATGGGGAAACTAGACCAGCTGACACTTTTACGTTGAGACCTCAGAATTACAAGAAAGTCAAGATCCACTGGTTAAACTCCCCAGGGCCTGGGTTGACCAGACTAAGCATGAGGGCTTCATCGTTTGCCACCCTGCCCATAAGGGAGATGGTTAGTTCCAAGGCTGAGGTTTCTCTTTCCTACTTCCCAGGTCCTCTCAGGTCAGGTGGTTTGTGAAGAGGGTCCTGTTTAGAGAAAATCCTCCTTGAAGAGGAAGCAAGCCGCAAGAGGAAGGTGATGACTAGAGAGAGCAGAAAGAATCCACTTCCAGGGAACAGAAGGGTGGGCTTGCGGGGAAAAGGAAATAACAGCCAGGGAAGCCTCCTCCCTCTAGCTGTCCAATCTTGTTTTTTATTTCTCCCAGAGGAAGCACTAAAATGCCTCTTCATGTCGATGCCTCTGTTCCATTTGAAATATTAACACAGTATATAAAACCTCTGGGTAAGTCCTGAAACAGAAATGGTTTTGATTTCTGACTTTTAAAAAATGTTAAATTAATAAATTTGTACCAACAAATATAGTACTCTGGAATTTCAAAATAGCCTGGGATATGAAAATTGATATTTGTATTCCTAATTCTACCCAAAACTGAGCCCAGTGAGCTCACAGTTTGCAGGATTAAGTTAAAGCAGTCAAACTTCCTATACTCCTTGGGGATTAATTATGTGAACAAATTGACTTCGAATAGACCAGTGGCACCATTATACAACAGACACACTGAACATTGTTTTTTGTTAGAAATTAATAGATTTGCATCTTGACCAGAGTAGACTCACAATAAATATTTATTTTATCTAAAATCAAATGATGTACTTGTCCAGAAGTTGAAAGATTAATTCCAAAGCTCAAGTTTTTTAAAGAAAGCAATTATTATGCAAATATATTTCTTTAATTGTAGATCATGTATACTATTAGAAAATAATTTAAAAAGATAAAATGACAAGTGTATTGAAATGAAAATGTATGAAATTTTATTCAGGGCTGGGGATTTAGCTCAGTGGCATAAGCACCTGCCTTGTAAGCAGGCAGTCGTGAGTTCCATCCCCAGTACCGATAAAAAGGAAAAAGACAAAAAAATTTTTTTTATTCAATACATTGACAGTGAGAAGACAGTAAGACATTAAATTCAGCAAGAATGTGAAAATTCAGGAATATAGGCAGTTTAAAAAAAAATGAAAGGATCTGGGTGTGATAGCTTGCACCCATAATCCTAGCACTTTTGGAGGCTGAAGCAGGATGATTACAAGCTTGAGTCCAACCTAGGTAGTTTATTGATTTAGTGAGATCCTGTCTTGAAATTTAAAAAGGCTGTGGCTATAGCTCAATGCAACCTTTGGTACCACGGAGGAATCCTAGAGGGGCTCCTAGCCTGAAGACACTACATTCATGATGTGCCTCCGCCTACTGTTCCCAACTCTGAAGCATTCCTGTCCAGCAACTGGAACTGCTCTTCCTGAAGAGGCTAGAACTCTGCAATTAGGTCCCCAGCTCCTCATTTGCCCCAGACTGTGGCTCAGCAATGATTCCCTCAGTCCTGCCTGCTGATTTGTTATCTCAGTTGGCACTGACTTAATCCCAAACCACAGCTTTAGTCTTGGAGACCTGGCTGCAGCTGCCACTCTGCCAGGACTGGGCTCCTGGCTCTCCCCCTCCATCCTGCACTGCACCCTGGAGCAAGGTTTGCAGTTCTGCAGGTGGCTGGTGGATTCCCGGGCACCAGCTCTCTCCCCAGAGCAGCTGTCACCTGCTCCCGAGCTCTGCACTTATTCCTATTACCCTCCCTCCCAGACACACCTGATTATATTACAACCCCTGTCCCCACAACTGCCTGCCCCGCCGCCACCTCTTTGGTTGCTACCCCCAGGATACGGTACCCTCCTACTGCAGATCTTACTTACTAGGCTTTTCTCCAGCCTTGGACGCCATCGCCTGCTCTCCCCCTGGCGAGTTCTCCTCCCACAGCTTAGGCAACACTCTGCTTGCCTGGTTTGTGGCTCGGTTTGTGGGGCTGTTGCAGGTCCTTCTTTTCTGCCTCTTCTTAGATGAAGATGTCAGTCAGGATTGTCTCCTCGGCCCTCTTGTCATTTGACTCTCATTCTCCCTGACAATCTCATCTCCATCCTCCCGGCTCCAGGATACAGATGTTCAAGGGACCTAAATCTCTTCTCCCCATCCTACCTCTTTCTGAGCTCCAACTCAACTACCTGCTAGAGTCACTTCCCAGGAGAATTACACTCCAAACGTATTTCTGCTGTCCTTCTGTCTATGAACAGAATGGCCCTTGATTCAAGCCAAAGACCCAAAATTACCTTCACAGGCAAATGGTAGCCAGTTCCCGTGGATTTCAGTGCCACCGTACTGCCTTGCCTTACATTCTAAGTATTCTGGCTTCTCTGTGACCTCTATGGTTTGTGGTTTCTCTTCCCCATTCTTCCTCTATATTGTCACCCCGGTAATAAAGCACTGTGGGGTGCAGCCATTAAGGAAATGTGCAACCAGTTTAGTGGACTGCATTAACTTCTAGATGAAATAGATTAGAATGAAAAGATAAGGGTAAGTAAAATGTTGTGCTTTCATTTCATATACACATTCATTTATGTACACATGTGTACATAAATAATGGTTGTGAATCACCATGTTTAACATATTACAGTGATCAAAGAAGTTCAAAAGCCATTCCTCTAAAACACACAAATGAACACTTTACTTTCTTGAAAAAAACAAAACAAAATGAAACAAAACAAAGCAAAACAAAAACTTCATTGGTTTCTTTGTTTCTAAAGAGTGCATTCCAAATGTTTGGCAGCGCTTTCAGACTCCCAGGTGCAGCTACAGCCCACCTGCTTCCTGTCATATCAGAGAACCCTTTAGGTTTACATGGTGTCACACTCGGAGGTACCAGAAGCACTGGATAAACATCCTACCTCTCCATAGCACAGCAGTTCTACCTGCTGGTAAGTAATGTCTAATATTCTTTTTCTTTTCAGATAGTCCAGATGCATGGTGAAATAGAACTTCAGATTGGTGTGAGTTTTATGGTAAAACATTGGAACACAATGAAAGATTCCTGGAGATTTATGATGAGGTCCTCCTCCTCTCTGCCTCTCAGAGCGTTCTAGGATAGGGTAAGCATGGGAGAGGCACCACCATAGTCACCAGAAATGTCCTGACTCTGTTGTCTGGCGCCCACTGTGAATGGAGGGACCCATGTCCAGCCCCTCGGGTGCCCACTCTGAACGGTAGGACCCATGTCCAGCTTCCTATGGTGGCCTTTATGAATGGAATAACCTGCATCCAGCTTGCTCAGATGCCCACTATGAGTGGAGGGACCGCTGCTCAGCAACATGCTGGTACAGTGATGCACACAAAGGTGCCCAGGCCTGAAGATGGGTTGTGGGCCTCACACAGTTCCCTGCTGGGGTCGACGTTAGCTAAGAAGAGAAATCAAACCACTCAGAGCAGGGCCAGGTTCAAACGCTACTTCCCAGAGCCTATCTGCCGGCAGCACCTGTCACTCAGTGGAACTGCAGGGAGCGCATGATTGATAGAACCACCTTGAGCCTCAGCTGTGCCCCCAAAGCTGAGCCCCCATGCTGGTATTCTCTGCAGACAGACACAGTGAGAGACCGCCCCAGATCTCAAGCCATTTAGGCCCTCTAAGCTCGATTTCTTCTTCTGAATAATAGGGCTCGTACTAACAACGCCTTCCTAGGAAGGTTATTTGAGGATTAAATGAGCTAATGTATATGAAATGCTGTAAATAGACCTCCTCTTATACAACAATAAGATTATTTTTATAATATTCGGCTTATAAATTGCTTTGCACAAGTTTTGTATAAAAAGCTGGTTTCTATTAATGCCTGAGACATGTAATTTTTTAGGCTCTAGGACCCAGAAAGTTTCTTTTTAATCATACCAGAAGCAGGCTGGAAAAGTACGAGATCACACAGTTGTTTGAGGATTTAATAACATTGAGACAATGTTCTCTAAATCCCGAATAAGCGATATAAAACTATCAAAGCTTGGCAGTTAATAGCAATTCAGCATTTCCAGTTCTTGTAAAAACAGGACTAAGGAAGAGATTAGTTCCCTTTGTTTAGTGTGTTCTGGGAAGATAATGGTGGCAAAAGTGTAGGTTTAAATCCAAATCTCAACACAGAAACACACTGGTGAAACCAAATGTTTCACATTGAGACTTAGGTTACAAAGCATCCACACCAACTTCAGGGGAAAAACTGCCAGTGGCCACGGCAGCCACAGCAAGCTGGAGAGAGCACAGAGGATCCCAGGTCAGAAGAAGTGACCAGGCCAGTGCTGACCTCGCTGGGATGTGAGTGGCCAGACCTGTGTGCAGCATGAGCTGCCTGCCTCACCTGGGCAAGGCTACACACTGAAGAGCATTGCTGTACCAAGGGAGTCAAAGCCCAGGCGGACAGGGACAGTAGTGTTATACACAGCTCAGTTAGACAGAAATACCATGGGCAGGCAGGCAGGGCTGGGCCCTCCAAGGAGCCAGTGCAGAAGACCAAGTACCTTGCAACCTAGGAGGAGACAGACACCTCCTGCTGTGGGCCAGGCCTCAAGACCAAAGATGAAACAAATGCACCCACATACTTCCCAAGGGTAAACATCAGGGACTGATATTTTAAGTAGGTATTGATCACCTTGAGGAAGCCAGAAGGTGCCACTAAGCCAACAGGCTGTATTCATGCCCACTTTCTTGCTACGTGACTCATTTCCCCATTTGATCCCTATTTAATCGATTTTACCTGAACACTTACACTCATAATCTTATTGTTTGACCATAGTTCTGTCCCACCTCATGCCCACCTTGTGAGTTCCCATGTCTTCCCCACCTTGGACTCTCCTCACTTTGTGGTTTTGCTCTATAAAGAACCCTAAATAAAAGGCAGGGTCCTTGGCAACCCACTCGGGTCCTCTTTTGTCTTTCTCAGACAGAAGCTTTCTTTCTCTCAAGAAATATATTCTGCTCTAAACCTCCGCTGTTCCTAAAATTCATTCTTCAATTTTAGAGAACACAAACTTGTACCAGACATCTAGCATTCTTTCCCTATATTAATAAGAGGATGGGAAAGAGAGCTCAACACAGAGCAGAGGAGGAATGATGGGTATAGTTTAATGGTGGAGCTCAGGGCTTGCAGGGGACCCCGGGTTCTATCCCCTGTAAAAAGTGGCAGGGGTGAACAGAACCAAGAAATTTCTCAAGGCAACCTGATCCTTCAGCCCACCAGAACAAAAGACCGGGGAGTTTTAGAAGTTAGAAGAGCTATTTGGAAACCAACGTCCTACATAAGCTGGGCATGGTGGTGCATCCTTGAGATCCTAGCAATTGGGAAGCTGAGGCAGGAGGATTGTTGTAAGTTTGAGGCCAGCCTGAGCTACATACTGTAGGAAGTTCAAGACCAGCCAGGAATAAATATATAGGAGAAGGAAAAATAAATATATAAAAAATAAAAAGACTGTGTCTCAAAAAATCAAAATAAATAAGGAATTGTTAAATTTTTTAAAAACTAAAAGTTTTGGAAAACCATTTCATAAAAAAATGAGAAGCAGATTTGGAGGCCAAATCTCTTGCAGTTCTTTCTAAGGAAAATGAAAAAGTCCTAAATATTAACCCTATACCAGAAAGGCATGCTCACAAAACACATCAGAACTATAACTTTTTACTTCAAAGGGCCTAAAATGCATTTTAAAAATATTAATCCAAAAATTTAAAGCTAAGAAATAAGATGACAAAACTCAAGAGACAATTAGAAATAAAATTAATTCCAGAAATGAAACTAAACTATATGCAGCAGAAGAACAAACAAAACAGATTAATCTGAAGAGAAATAAAAGATTAAAGAGCAGGAAATTTTTAAATAAAAAGAAAGAAACAAGATTAAAAAGTTGAGAGAAAAAGATAGACAAAGAAGGTTCAGTTACAAGGAGGATCCCTAAGGAGGGAAAGCAAAACAAAGAAACAAAAGAGAAATCAAAATCTAAGAAAACTTTCTTAAATAAAAAAATAAAACTACATGTTGACAAACCATATTATTTAGCTGACACTATTAAGCTAGAAACAAACAACATCCAGACATATTTTCAGTTAAATGCGTAAAAATGTGAAACAGAAAAGTATTGAGACCAAATCACTTGTGATTATATTTAAGAAAAAAATGTATTCCATATCATCAGCATAGTTTTTGGCAACCCTTTAGGCCAAAAGAAAGTGGAATAACAGATTTAAGAGATTCAAGGAACAAAATGATAATTAATATTTAAAGGTTCATATAAAATGCACACAACAAAATTATTAGCATACACGTCTCAGAGACTATTGTTGTAATTAGCCCTCCCTGAAGAATCAACTAGTGAATAGGTCTCAGATAATTAAAATGAACAGGGAGGCATTAATATAAGGACTAATGACATTGCAGACAGAGGCACCTCACTAAGGAATGCCAAGTGAGTGTTAAAGCATAATACCTAAAGGCTATGTGCTGATATGATGTGGAAATGGTACAGGATACAATGGAGCAGGAGGGAAAGAGCATATGGAACAATATTGTATGGTGGTCTTTGTAATTATGTTGGGGGTGGTGACATGTGTATTGTTATTCTGAGCTTGTGTGCATAGTGGGGAGTAAAGCAAGTAAAGTATCATGAGACATTCCATCTATGGGATAATGGTTTGAAAGTTTGTCTCTCCCCCCAAATCACACATTGAAATCCTAAGTCCCAATGTGATGGACTTAGGAAGTGGGCCTTTGGGAATCTCATCTGTAAAATTTCATCTGTATGTATACTTATGAATAGATAGATTTCCCAGCTTCACTACTGAAAAGTCCCAGAAATAGTAACCACTCCAGCAATTCTACAAATGAGCATCCACACTGTTATCTTGAAATCTTATTTCCCAACAGAAACCAGGACTTTGGAAACATGACTGATTCCATGTCTAGGGCAGGAAGTATACAAATGGTCTTGAAACATCAGATATTAGATATCGAGAAAGTTAGCAAGAAGTTCTAGGATATAACAAAAGGGCTCAGAAATCAACTTGAAGAAGATTCTACAAGCTCCAAGAAAGTAATAACTGTGATTGGTTAAAAACCTTTCAGTATGTTGAAATCCATGAGTTCATCATAATATTATCTTAAAAATCAAATAATTATTCAGCTTCAGAGGAGAATAAGAACCCACTAATTATCATGGACACTGGTAACTAGGCACAAAGAACCGAGCAATATTCTGCTTTGTCTCTGAACAGTAACATTGGTAGCCAAACGGTGAAATATACTCCCTTTTAAAAGTATTCTGACTAATAAGTGAAAAAGACGTAGTGAGAAGTTAGCATCAACATTTTGCAGCCACCAGAGAATTAATGGATCTTGACATCAACAGTCACAAAGAGAGAGCGGGACATGATATGCCCACACTATGAGGAAAGACCACACCTACCTGTACTCTCACCCAAGGAGATAAACGCTCGGTCTGAAGGCTCTGAACGCACACGCTGCCTCATAGGAAATGCAGAGGGCAGAGGAACGTCAGACTACACACTCTAAGACCTAAAGTGTGAAAACAGGGCAACTCAACTGTGTGAAACTGCAAATCAAATAGCTCCAGTTTGGAGGTGTATATGGAATGCATGTGTCTGTGTGTGTGTGCGCGTGTGTGCATGTGGATGTGTGTGTGTGTGTGTGTTTAGCACTGGGCGTTGAGCTCAGGGCCTTCTCACAAAGCTACATGCCCAGCCCCTTTTTAAATTTTTATTTTTGGGACAGGGTCTTGCTCAACTATCCAAGCAGGGCTCTGTTGTTTGTGATCCTCAGCTTCCCAGAGTGCGGGGACACATACATGCCCACCCCAGCAGCTAGCTCCACTACTTTAATAGGTGAGTCATATGGAAATGGTGGACAGGTATAGATTTGGGGAGTCTTACATTCAGAAAATATTTTAATGTGGAAAACTATAGTGTTGATGGGTGTCCATTTGGGTTACACCCCTATGGGGAAAGGATGGAGGGTGCTCGTGGAGGAGTGGAGTTCGCATTGGGAGGCACTGAAAAGGCCTGCTGGAGAAGCTGGGAAAGTGTGTGTCTTGATTTAGGAGGTCGCTAGAAGAATGTTTGCCATCCAAGCACTCCTTACAGTATGCGTTTATCTTGCACAGGTTTCTAAATCTACTTGTTCTACAGTAGATGTAGGATTAAAGGAACAAAAATCTATTTAACTTAAATGAGAGCTGTCACAACAAAGGGAATCTTTCACCAAGATTCTCTCATGTGTCTTCCTCAAATACAGAAAAGCGCCTGTAATATTTCCAGTAACGCCTTTACCTGGTGAACACAGAGGAGGCAAAACCAGGACTCGGCGGTAGAGCACCAGGAGGACCAGGGAAGTGGAAGGCAAGAAGCGCGACCCCAAACTCTCAGCTAGAAGCCCAGAAACCTCATGGATGTCGGAGGGTTGTTTGATCTAAAGTGTGCTTAAATTTTGCTTAGAGGAATAAATCTTTATAAAGGCCTCATTTCTTGGGCATTCAAGACAACTGGAAAACCTGGCCCTTTGGAAATTTGCATAAAAGTTTCCTTTCTGAGGACACTGCTGAGGGACAGAGAGCTTCCTGGCATGTGGGGGTCCCCAGTATCACCGGAAAGAGGAAAGGCCTAGAGAGAAGAGGGGAGGCCGGGAGGGAGAGGGGAAGGGAAGGGGAGGGGAGGAGGTTTGGAAAAGCAAAGAAGAAAATAAGAAGGGTGCAAAGGGGTGCAAAAGAAGAAAAGAAAAAAAAGCAAGGGAAAAGAAAGAGAGGGAAGGAGGGAAAAGTAGGGAAGGAAGGGAGGGAAGGGGAAAGGAGAAAGGAGAGGGGAGGGGAAGAGAGGGGAGGAGAGGGGAGGGGAGGGGAGGGGAGGGGAGGGGAGGGCAGGGCCGAGCATAGGAATTTTTAGCCTGGGGGTGGAGCTCAGTGCTAGAGCAAACCCTTAGCTTGCATAGCAACCTGGGTTCAGTTCCTCAGCAATAACAACAAGCCTTCCTCGCCTGGCCTGTCCTAACCTTGCTTTAATTATTGCTAAGGGAAGCTGTGAGCCTCGCACCCCGACGTGGCCTGTCCTAAGCCTCACTTTAGACAGGTCACACCGGGTGGGGCAGGGGCCAGGAGAGCCGCCGCTGGAATCCCAGGGCCACGCCCGTGAGCAGCCTTTCCTCGGCCACACCTGCCCTGCGGTTGCCAGGGACAGATTCGGACCTGCGCGACCTGGCCTGGGAAGGAGCCTTGCCTGCCCTGCTTTCTGTGCCCGATGGGTGTCTTCGCGGCTTCCTGCCCGTCTGTCCCGGCGGAGGCGCCTGCTCCTCTTCTGTCTCCTTCGTGTCTTCCACAGTTCCCTTTCCCTGGCTTTCCTCATCATAGCTCACTCTCCTTCTCTTTCATCACGCGAATAGGAAATATTTGCCAGGCAGGAAACAGAATTATTCTGAATACCAGAGATGTTATACCAGTCTACCAAAGATCAATTGAAAAAAAAAATATATATATATACACTTTGTAAAGAATCAACTCCCATTTTGAGTGAGTGTAACTCTGGAAATAGAAAACCTACTTGTCAAAGCTTAGAATAATGAATAAAACTCATTTGTTAAATCACCAAAAATTTCAGATTACCATCTTCACACATTTATGAAAGCTTTGGGAGCTGTCAAAAATATCACCATAGTGATTTCCCCCCATCTATTGCTATTCCCATTTTTGTCTTCTGCAAAGCCACTTCCCACCATATGCCAGATAAACCCTGCCACACACACTCACCTCACACACACGCACACACACACACACACACACACACACACACACACACACACTCACTTGTAGCAAGGGTGTGAGCTTGTAACTTGCCAATGTGACCAGCCAAAGAATCCACTGGGTTCATCTTCCTATTCCAGAGACAGGACGGGGGATACTTCTCCTATTATAGGTAGCTAAGTAAGAGAAAATTAATAGTCAGAAAAGGACTGGGCCCTCAAGAAAGTCAACATGAAAAAAAATAAAAATATTAGAACAGTGGTTGGAGCAAATCTGAAGAAAGCTAGACTTCAAGATGGAGAACCAATAGCCAAGCCTGCATCTCTGCCTGGAGATGGCAATTTGAGACTATTCTGTGATTAGCACCCCCTGGGCAGTGGCCCCAGACAGGCATCAGACACACAGGTGGTGACCAGAACACCTGGACCCAAACTCCCCTCCCTTTTCAAGAATTCCTTTGATCTTTCCATGTACCCTTGCAACGTGACTCATGTCCCTGCTGAATCACTGTCAGCTAAGCGGCTATGCTTACAGTCTATAGTGGATTAGAGTTTGACCCACATTGTGATTTTGCTGTGTGTGTTACCCCTGACAAAGAGGCTCAGTGACACCCCTCCTTATGAGACCCCTATCTCTCAGGAACTTTCTCTTAATAAACCTTTCTTACTCAACCTCCTTTGATCCTTGGAATTATTCTTCAGTATTCAGGGGACACAAATGGCACATCTGACATCTGGCAGGTCAGGAGTTATATTTTTCCTGTATCACTCCCACATTTGGTCACAGATGATGAGGCGCCTGTGTCAGCCGCTCTGACAGCCTTTTCCAATTCTGAAAAATGTACGGACAAAGTGCATCAAACAGCGGAGAAGTAGAAAACTGAAACCAGCCTTCCTCTTTAACAACATGCTTAAGCTACTGAACCAGCTTGTTTGGGGACATACTTTACGTAAGCTACTGAGACCTGACGTTAAGAAAAATGAAAGAGAAAGAGAGAGATCAACAAAAGAACAAAATCTGAGATATATTTATTATCTGAGGTGTATTTATTTCTGTCTCCCAACCTCCACCCACCGCTTTTTAAAAAACGTTGGAGCTATTTCCAAAAACACACGTAAGAAAATAGAAGAATTTTCTGGGTAGACTGTGACCTGCAGGGATATTGTGAAATGCGTGATCAGGAAGTGAAAGCTAGAATAGAAAATTTCTGTTTTAACTAAATTGAAAGGTTCCTGAATCACACATAAATATTTTTCACTGTCAATAAATGTCTAATAAAAGTAGTTACAGAACAGAAGCTAAAAGCCTTCCTGCTGTTTACAGCTATCTCTAAAAAGGAGGAACACCTTTAAAATATGATTCACCTGCTCTCTGTATAAATCATTTTAATAGAAATTGCTCTAGTGCAGAGGAAGGGGGAGGAGCAGTAAAGGGTAGAGAATGGCAGACTAAGAAAAATACTAATTCTTAAGGTACATTGATTGCCAAGAAAACTGACAGAGTGTCCTTAGCAATCACGGGAAGTAGAATAGTGGGATTGGATGGTGTGACCAAGCAAGGGTTAGGATCCCCTACTGGGAAAAGATATTTGTAGTGCCATCCTGAGCTTACCCCAGTTTGACCCTAGTTCTTTAACAATAACAAAAAAAGAGTGACCAGCTTTCCGTGTCTTAATTCCTTCATTATACTCTTAAAAAACTGTAGCTACTCAGTCTTTTTCAGATTAACGGATCATTCTATTCTCCTCCCATGGATATCATTTTCTAGCCATCGATCGCTTCTGAACTTTTCTGCCACCACTAAATTTGTTAAAAGGCAAAATCATAAGTGTAGACTCCCAGACCATGTAGCAGACTTAATGAGTAAAAATGTTTAGAGACACAACTGCTATGCAGACCAAACTTTGAGAACCACTGCTTTAAGGGGTTCCAAATAATTGACTAGGTTTTTAGCAACGGTTTTAGCTCTTCAGTGTAAAGGACATATTACCAATTTATAAATAAATCATATGTTCTAATCTTTCCAAGTATCACTTACTTACACTGAAAAATTGTTTAGTTACTATTAAAATTACTGAATTAAGAGATGAGTAATTTCAAAATATTTCCTAAATGATATATGCTAAGAAAAACATGATCCAAAGCCTTTTATTCTTTTTTTAAATTTAGAAACCTTGGACAATCTTTTTTCTCTTAATGTGTAAGACTCTAAAAGCCATGGGGACATTATTTTTTAGGAAGAAATGACGGCATCCAGCCTCTGGAATCTTATTGGTATTAACTGACACCACTGCAGTAATACGCTAAACCTTTAAGGAACAACACACAGTAATAGAAGTCTTCCTATTTTGTTCTAACATTATTATTAGTAGTAGTAGTAGTACCGGGCATCAAACTCATGAACTTGTGCTTGCCAGGCAGGCACTTATGCCACTGAGCTAAATCCCCAGCCCTGTTCTAACTTATTTAATTAAATATTCTACCTGGAAACCAAGTGAAAGCTCTTAAATAATTTCCGACATGAGCTGAATTTTTTGTCTGATTCATAGTAAGTGATTATGACCCTAAAACCATCATGGAAAATTAATTATATATAAGGAGCAAGAACTCTAGAAATAAAAATGCAGAGGATGGCTATTGAATTGTTTCCTTTCTTATAGCTTATGATATAGTCTGATGCAATTCAAAAGCTTAGGTCATTAAAATTATATTTGAAGAAGATCTTTAGTATATACTTTTTTTTTTTTTTTTTGTCTTTTTCATTTTTATTGGTACCGGGGATCGAACTCAAGACTGCCTGTTTGCAAGGCAGGCGCTTATGCCGCTGAGCTAAATCTCCAGCCCCTAGTATATACTTTTTATCAATACCTGTATATCCTGTATATATACCTGTATATCCCATTATAGCAATGAATTACATAACATATACAAATAATATTTTACTTGTGATTACAAGGTTGCCCCCAAATTCCACTCTTTAGTCAAGTGAAAAGCCTCCAAAGCTCTAAGTTTCTAATGCTTTTGACTTAGGAACTTGATTAGAATCTCATGAGCCTCTGCCCTGGGAATCTGCATTTGTAATGTTAAGCATTTATTATCACCCACACCATTGCTAAAATCCTGAAAGGATGCCGACTTCTTTATTGTCTATGAGATCTAGATCCTCCAAGATGCCACGCTTCATCCAGTCTTAGAGATTTTATCAGCAACTGACAATTAGGATCCATAAACACAAATGGCCAGCTGCTTAAAGAGGTGATGAATTTTGATCCTTTTTATTTATTTTGGTGATACTGGGGATGAAACACAGGGCCTTGCATGTACTGGAAAATGCTATCCTACTGAGCTATAGCCCTGGCCCTGGCCTATGTTAGCCATTATTTTTGGTGTAGAAATTTATAGGGTGGTGATAATATTCAGCTATAATTGTCTTATATCACCTGGGAAATTTTAATAATGATCCCAGCTTTCTCACTTTTCTGAATCACTGATGGGCAAACATTTTGTATATTCTAATGCAAACATGGAAAGAAAGCCTGCATAACATGCTAGGGGGCTTTGAAGAAGGTTCTGCAGGAGCTCTGTATATATAGAGTTTTTGTTTAATCGGTACTATATAATTCATTTCCAAGGAGTAGGCATACAAATCTTGGTGTAATTTAAGTAATGGACAGCTACAATTAGTTTGTTAATCTCAGCTGTTCTTGTAAGAAGGGAGCAATTATATACGATGTTATCCAAGGACCACTAGGTGCCTTAAGCCTGACCACACATTCCATTCTGTGCTCCTGTATTTCTCCTTCTCTTTGGTGTCTTTTTTTGGCAGTGAGGTTCCTTGTTATTGCCATCACATGGCTTAAACACGTTCATCTAAAATACTTTAATATTCTACACATTTCCAAGTTCTTTATGTAACCAAAGTTTGTCTTCAAAATAAACTCCATGAAGATGAAGATTGCTTTAAGATTCTAAACTGTGTGCATGGAATGTTCAAAGATTTGGGTTGGAAACAATAATTATCATGGCTTAAATTCTGGTATTTCTGGTATAATACAAACCCAAACCAAATCCTTGTGTTTAATTCATCAGTGATTCTACAGTAGCAAGAAAGATTACTATGGAAACAACGCGGCATTAGTCTGGTAAAACTAGCCAAACCTTAGAGCTAAACACTGTAGGGAAAGTTAAAGTCCTTTACCATCAGCTATTGATTGATGCATAGTGAATTAAATTTAGCAGGCAGAAATAATGAATACTTACTGTTCCACAGTTTTCCAGGGTTAGGAATCTCAGAGGAGCCAATTAGGTAGTTTGAGCTGAGGATCTCCTACAAGGCTGTGTGGAGTTGTCAGTGAAGACTGCAGTTATCCCAAGCCTCTGCTGGAAATCACTCACCTGCATCACTCGCCTTGTGCTGGTGTCCCCTACTGCAAATGACTGGAGAGAGAGAGTGACAGAGGGCACTCTCATTTGAATCCAGTCTTTATAAGCGAACCTTGGAAGTGGCATGATTCTTTCCATCGGTTATTCACTAGGAGTAAGTCAGTATTTCCATACTGAATGGGAGGGAATTCACAAGGGAACGAGTACCAGGAGAGGAGGGCATCACTGGGGGCCATCTTAGTGGCTGCCCACTACAAGTGTCTTTACTGCAGGAATTTAAAAAGTACAGTCATGCATCACTTGACAGTAGGAATTTACTCTGGCAAACACATCATTAGGCAATTTTGACGCTGTGAATATCAGACTGGATTTAGCCAAATCTAGATGGTGGAGCCTCCTACACACCTGGGCTACATAGTGTCTACCTTTGTTTATGTAATCTGCCATTGACCAAGTCAGAATTTTGCAGTGTCCAACAATATGTATATACAGTTTTTTCTGGGATTGGAGATTAAACCTAGGGCCTTTGCACTGAGCTACATTTCCAGCCTTTTCTTTTTTTTCTTCCTCCTCCTCCCCTTCCTCCTCATTTTCCTCCTTCCTCCTTCTTCAATAGAGTCTTGCTAAATTCCCAAGTTTTCCCAGTTGGGATCAAACATGCAATCCTTCTGATTCTACCTCCCAGAATTCTGGGGTACCCAGGTGCACCATAATGCTCAGCTTGTATGATTGTATTTAGCATGCACTTCATTGTTGTGAGATTGTGGGATGATATAATAAACTATATTTTCAACTGTTTGATCTAGAAGTCCTTCTAAGTGCTTTCATTCTGCCAATTTATATCTCTATATCTATCTATCTATCTATCTATCTATCTATCTATCGTGTTCTAAAGAGTTGATGCTCCAGGTATGATCTTTGGACCAGGGAGTTTTTTAGAAAATTAAAATCTCAGGCTGTACCCTGATCCATTTAATTATGAATAACCTCCCTTATTTTGGAGCATACAGTGTCTGACATTAATATAACTACTCGGTTTTCTTGATTGGTATTTATATGGATACCTTTTTCCATTCACTTCTTTTTAATTATATTTCAGGATTTTTTGTATATTGTATAAATAAGCTTAGTTGACAGTGTCTACCTTAGCAGGCAATATCTTCCTTTTAGTTAGGGTGTTGAGGCAATACAGGTTTTATGTAATTATAAATGTAGGATTTAAATCTACCATCTTTTAAATTATTTTTTATTTGTCAATTTATTCTTTACATTTTTCTTCTTATATTCTTGCTTTCTTTTAGATTATTGTATTGTTCCATTTTATTTCTTACTGGTTTATTAGTTACACTTTTTTAAAAAATATTTTAGCGTTTGGTCTAAGATTTATATCTTTAACTTTTACAGTCTAACTTCAAGTACTATTAAATCATTTTATAGATGATGTAAGAACCACATTAGTATGCTTCCTTACCCCTCTTTTCATCCTTTGTTGTATTGCTGTCATATATTTTAGTTCTAAAGATGTTCAAACATCACAACACACTGCAATTTCTTTTGTGTTAAATAATTATCTTTTAAAGTGCTTAATTTCAAAGCTTTTTTCATTTTTATCATTTCTGGAAATATTTCTTTGTATAGATACAAATTTCCATCTACCACATATTCCTTTCATATAAAGAAGTTCTTTTAACATTCGTTGTAGTGAAAGTCACTGAAAAAAAGAGGAAAAGCAACATTTGTCTTTGTATTTTGGAAGATATTATAGCTGGGTATAGAACTCTTGATCAGCAGTATTTTTTCCTATTTTTTACTATTTCAAAGATGTCGCTCCACAGCCTCACCTTACATGTCAAAGTGGTTTTTAAATACAACTTCTTTATAGATGTTTACTAAGGGTCTGCCACATGAATACTGTAAATATCTAGTATTTTGCAGCCTGCTCTTTCGTTACCCTACTGATTCATCTGTAGGAAAACATCATTGAACAATCTACTCCTTTTAGTCACTTTCCACAGTGCCATCCAAAGTTAAACCAAGTCTAAAAGACCGTGGCTAGGTAAAAAAGCTGTCTTGCAAGAGGCAATGCTTACATCACTATGGCAAGTGAGGGAAGAACCGGGTCAGGAACTGCTATTCCTCTGGAGACAGTCTGCAAGGGCGACCCACGGCTTATTTTTCAAAAATTATCCTCCTGGAGAATCCCTTACAAGGAAATATCTGAACTTTAAAAAGTCATGTATGGTATTCACAGGGCGCCAAGGCCATAAGGACAGTTGGCTAAACCTTCCTTTAGGTCAGGGAATGCCTACTCCATCCGGTTCAGACCTTTAGGAAAAATGAGGCTGAACTATTTTTAAGAGGATGTTTTCCTCATACTGGATTATCTAAAGGATCTCTGTAGAAGGCCACAATTACAGAAGATGACATTTTGTCCTCCTGAAGTATGGAATATTAAATCACATTAATGGGTTTCTGGCGCCTGAGGTTTGTTCTTAAACAATCCTAATTATCAATCTTAGGACTGAGCTTTATATATTTTTATATAAAAATTTATATATTTTTAATTCAATCTAATTAAATCTTTATATATTCTTAATTCATTCTAATTTTGAGACCTATTACGTTAGTGAAGGAACATTTTCCAGCTGCTTTGTCCTTTGAAATGTTTACTTATGAGTTTACCCCTACAAGCCTTGTATTTTAAGCAACCCACTTTCCTGCTTGTTATTGTTACCAAAGAGGGGGATGAAATATGTGAAACAAAGGCACTGGCTTTTATTGATAAAACAGTGGTTTCCTGCAGAACGGCCTCGCCTTCCTGGCTGTCACTCACTGAAGCCCCACCCAAACCCATGGGTCTCGGTAGCACGCGAGTGTCAGAACGGTCTCACAGGTGCACCCTTCTCCCCCAAGCCCGCCTTGAACCACACAGCCACCACCCGGGTGGGGCGGAGCCTGGCGGAGGACAGGGAGATTCCCCAGGAAGAGGAGTCGGCTGGGCGGTGGGCGGGGCGATACGTGAGGGGCGGGGCGCCTCCGGGAGGCGGCCCGAGTGCGAGGGGGCGGGGATAGGCTGCAAGTAGGCGGGGCGAGGCCGCGAGGGGGCGGGCACGCGGACCGGCCCCGCCCCCGCCCGCGGACGGCTCCTCGGGGTCTTCCCGCGCGCGCCGCTCCATTTCCGCCGCCACCTGGCGGCCGCCGGGAAGGCGTCCAGCCGAGCCGGGCGGTGTGGTGGCCGCCGCCGCGCCAGGGATGTGGTGGCTGCTGCTCTGGCTGCTGCCCGCGGGCACTGTGCGCGGGGAGGACGCGGCGCTCTCAGGTAACGGGGCTCCCACGGGCCTCCGCGTCTCTGCTGGGTCGGGACCTGCTGGGGTCCTAGGCCTGGAAGTGCAGAGCAGGCCACGTCCCCGGTTTCCCCGAAGCCGCCTGGGCACAGAGCCGCTTTGATTTGTCCAGAGTCTCCTACGCGTCAGGGCTCCCCGGCCCCGCCTCGGGGCTCCTCATCCTGCAGTTAGTGACCCGGCGTGACAGGCTGGGGGACGGAAGGCTGGGGAAAAACTTCAAAAAAGGCCTGGGGTTGCAGCTGATTTGGAAGACCCCACAGCACCACACACACACACACACACACACACACAGAAATTGCCCTCATAAGCTCATACCCTTATTCTTGCCATACAGCTATTCCCGGAAACTCAGGTCTGGGTCCCTGCCCCGGGACTGGCTGCTGTGACCTTGGGCAAATTGTCACCTAACTGGCCCAGTGTGGACTTCCGCCCACACCTCCAGCATTCTGGGGGGCGTGCACGAACTGGTCATTGCTCGCGGTGGCCTTAGGGGCCAGCATCCACAGGCGATCCCCAGGGAGAATCTGAAAACTCGAGTTCTGACTCCAGAACTGCTTTGTGACTGTGATCAGTTTCATATTCTGTGTTCTTTCTGTTTCTTGCCCGTGACACCCTTTAAAGGAGTTCTTGCACGCACTTTGCACCATCTTCCTTTACTTTGCTGGCCACCCTGGTTGCACGGGAGGCTGGCAAGGGGGCATCTTTTATCTGGAACCGGCCTTCCCCATAAAGCCAGGAGGATTCCGTGGATTCCTGGAAGGCATCTAAGGATGAAGGAGAGAATGGTTGTTGAGTAGACAGTTACCAAATTCGCTGTGCCACAGCTGCCAACTCAGAGATACCTTGCAGTGAGTTCCACCTTGGGGAACTAACTGTCTGTCCCAGCTTTCACTGAGCATGCACTGGGTGTTTACATGCTGGACAATGTAAAAAGTGAGTCAACTGCATTATTGATGGTATTCAATAATCCTAGAAGCTCAATAGGCAGGTAAAGGGTTAGAAAACAGATTAGAAAACAAAGGCTTAGTAGTAAGAAATACGACAAGTACATACTGCTGAAAAAAACTAAGCACCAATCTGCTTAAGGGAATGGGGTTTGGGTTTGGGAACAATAGGAAGGTTAGAAATGGTCCTGCCAACACCCAGAACTTCAGGTTCTGGATTAGTCATATACTGCTTGTGATATAACCTTGGCCCTGGCTTGTAGTCTTTATAGACCAGTAAATGAAGGTTATTGCTGAAAAATATCCAATATTTTCTGTACCTTTTAAGAGAACCCAGCATTCTTCAGGTTTCTGTATTATCACACTTCATAGTAATGTACTCAGTTTTGTTAACTGGAGACATGCATAAATGCTTACCAGGGTGCCCGTTCTGCCCGAGACACTGATGCCTACTGAGTTCCCATCCACAGCTTAGAAAAACAGTAACTTTTGTGCCATCAAGTGAGGCTGGCAGTTGCAGATAGACCGGGAAGCACCAAGCATCCCTTTGTCCTGTAGTGCACAAGTGCCACCATGTTGGAACCCTTGGATTAGACCAGGCCTGAGAGCGACTGCTTCGCTGATGCTGACCTATGATGAGACGAGATGGTTGGTATAGTTGATGGGCCATCCACAGGGAGTTCTTCTGCTCCAAGACTCCCCAGTGGATGCTGGAGCCTCAGTGCCAAATTCTGTGTGTACTGCTCTCCTGTACTACACACCTAGGGTAGAGTTCATTGGAAATTAGGCACGGTAATACTTAATAATAGAACAATTACAACAATATGCTGCAATAAATTACTTGAACTTGTGAGTTGTGCATCTCTGGAATTTTCTACTTAATATTTTCAGACCCTGGTGACTGAAACCTCAGAGAGCAGAATTGCAGATGAGGTAGGGCTACTGTACTTCTGTGCCTCCGTAAAACAGGGCCATCGATTACAGGAGCAGTTCAGTGGAGACAGGACACAGGGCCGTTCCTATTGTGAAGTTCCGTCTTGGGTTTTGGGTCTTAGGGATACACACCCTTCCGCTGCATGGAGGACATCCTGTCACCCTCTTTGGAGGAAAGTCAGAGGCAGTTTGCACAGGAAACACAGGTGGCTCCCTTGCTGAGAGGAAGAGAAACCTCAAACTGAGCATTACTGTAATTTGTCACCACTGGGCAAGGTCCCCTGTGATGAGATTGGTTTCCCAGGCTTGTCCTATAACAGTAGGTCATTTCAGTTTCACAGCTTTCTGTGGCCGAGGAGTGTCTCTCCTGGAAGTTAAAAGCAGACCCGAAGGTGATTAGCACCTGTCAGTCTCACTTTCACTCCCATGGCTTAAAGGAAGAAAAATCAACATTTATATACATATTAGAAACAAGCAAACAAATTTGGGTTAGTAGAATAGAGAAATTACCTTTGTACTACACCTTTAAAAACAAGCAACTCAAAGAACACCATCTAGGGCCAATTGATTGCCTTTGAACACACCCACAAGGGAAGGTTTGTTTGTGGGTTTTGTTTTTCTTCTCTTCCTCTTCCTCCATTACAGGTCCAGAGAAAATAGTGTAATAATAAGTACTTACATTTTTATTTGTCACGGTTTAACTTGAGGATAGTTTTCTTTCCTATAGGAGAGCCATGGAAGACTGAATTTTCAAGAGAAATGTTGAGATTTTTATGTGGGAGGTAGTAGATTTGAGATGTGTTTGTGCTTTTTGTTTTTAGATTATTCTGTCAGTTTAAAGTACTACCTGCTTTTTTCTAAAGTTTTGACTGAATGGTTTTATTCTATGTCTGACCAAAATCTTTAATTTAAATATATACTTTTACTCATGACATTTACTAATGAATGACAAAAATAATTACAGAGGAGTTATTTGCTTATTTTTTTTGTTTTTTGGGTGGACAGGGTCTTAGTGATCCTCCTGCCTTAGCCTCCAGACTGCTAGGATTACAGGTATGTACCGCATGCCTGGCTCAGAGAAGTAATTTTGAATTTAACTTGTTACTTAAAGTACCTGATATATAGCTACCCTCAGTTGGCACTTGAAACCTGAGTGCTGACCTCCATCTGTGCTATGTTATTGATATATACATATACCTGCAAAGAAGTTTAATTTCTAAATTATAAATTAGGTATAGAGATTACCAATGAAAACTAATAATAAGATAAAACTAACAAAACAATTGTAACAATATACTATAATGTTACTTCAAACTTATGAATTACCTCTGGAATTTCCCATTAATATTTTTGGACGTGGTTGAGCGTAGGTGAGTGAGACTGTAGAAAGTGAAACCACAGTACAGGGGGGACTCTTGCAGTCCTACCGTTAGCCCAGTTGGATATTTATAAGGGTGCTGTTCACTGGTTTGGGTCCCACAGCAATGCAAGTAGTTAAGGCCTCCTGTACGGTGGACACAGCTCCCCAGACGTACATGTTGTCCAGAAGTCAAGTTTCTCAGAAGGCCCGGGAGACACTTTCTCCACATCGCTCTCCTGACCCAATGGAGCTTGAGGGCGTGAACACCTTGGTCATGGAGCCCAGAGGGCGAGGAGACGCTTCAGCCCCACGTGGGAGTAGTGGCTTTCCCCAGGCGGTCTTGTTCCTTCTGCTTGAATGAATGATTGTCACTGCACTCTTTTAAATTCTGAGAAATCTTTTTCTGGATTGTGTCATGTGGGTGTTGTTGTGGGGATGTATCTGGAATTTGCCCTCAGTTGCCTGCAGGGCTTCCTCGTGGCAGGAAATTGAGGGTTGCGTGAGTGAGTGAAGCTTCTAGGCCTTCCGCATCACAGCTTCTTCAGGGACAGAGGTTAAACAAACCGTCAAACTGGTGGTGTTTTCTGTTGCCATCCTCAGCTGGACAGAGTGGTCTCCTGAGGATTACTGAAAGGAGGAGAAAAGCCTAGAAAAGCTAGGACTCCTGTCATCATTCCAAATGGAAAGATCTGACAGGCAGCAGTGGGCCGACCTGATAGCATTCTCGTCACACGCCACCGTCTCAGGTCTTGTCCCATTAAGTCCTGGCTTATGGTTCCCATGAACTCACTGGGGTGAAGCTTGTGTCGTCTTGTGGTTGATGGAGTTTCTGGTCTCAGGGATTTCGGAATGCTTACGTGGGTTGTGATGCATTCACCTCAGGAGAGGTGATAAGAAAAAAGGACAGCTAGAGGACAGCACAAAACACTGACGCCCGTCTGTGCTGTCTTGTGTGTTGTGTAAATTCTGCATCAGCTTCACCTTGGGACTCAGAGACTGCACTGGGGAGTTCCAGGGGACACCTGTGGCAGCATGCTTTTAGCAGTGTGTCTGTGGTGGGCTGCAGTAAAGGTGACCGCCCTCCACATGATCTGCTTGAAGACCGAGGAGCAGTTTAGAGCAGTTCCTTTCCCTCTAGCCAAGAGACCATTTGGAGGTGACCACATTCTTGCTCCTATATCCAGTGAAGAGCAGGAAGGTGGTCCCTGGCCAAGGGCTCTGCAGGGTCCCAGGCTCAGCCCTCTACTTAAGAGCTCACTGGTGATGAGGTAGAGGAGAAACCTGAGCCTTTACCTGTCCCTTGTGTGGGCTCTGCAGGGGATGGCAGTAGCCCAGGGGCAAGAGAGTCCTACCGCATCAGAAGAATTCAAGGGCTGCACTGGGGCTCATCCTCTTCTGTGCTCACGTATTGGTGAGGTCTTAGCAGAACTGGTTGGGGTTTCACTGGCTGGGTTACATTTGCTTATGGAGCCCTTGAATCCTCCTGAGGTTCCACATACACACAGGTGACAGATGTTTAAATGCTGTGGGATATATCAATGAACACGCAGTGTCCCTGACTCTACAGGGACAGCCACGTCTGAAAAAGTCCCACCTATGACCGCATGAGGCTTTGGAGGGAGGTCTAGACACCAGCTATAACAGTGGGCTGAACTTTGTAATAAGAAGTCTTTTCCATTTGGTCATGGAACTGTCTTCGATACCTGGAGCTTCTACATTAAGAGCAAAAGCATGCAGTTTGAGCAGGTAGAGTGTCTGAATCGTAGACAGTGCCTCTCGGTGACGAAGCCACATTCTTCTTGCACTTAGGTTATAGTCATGGCCTGCTAGCTGGTCGCCCTGCTTGCAGAAGTGCCCCATAGCTGGTGTGTTTGCCCCCACGTCACCTCGGCTGGCGCCTTTTGACCCAGTGAACTCGCTCATTCCAACACGGTCACCTGCTCTCTGCCAACTCTGCTTTTTTCCATCTTCATGTTACCTGTGAATTTATGAAACGTCTGTGGTCAATGACTTGGTCCTAGTAGCGGAGCTGACCAGAGAGAGAGGGGCCCTGGAGGGACCCATAGGAAAAGCCCCCAGCACTGAACTCACACACGGATGGCCGCGCTGGCCGGAAGTGAGCGTTCCTGTAATGTCCTGGGACTGCTGGGGCTGCGGACCTGAAACCTCATGCCCTTCACATGTCCTGCTGTACCACGAACACACTGCTTTCCTGTGTGGTCAAGGGCTCCAGGGACCACATTCTCAAGGCTAGGTGTCCCATATACCCCTGGCTCCTGCCCGGAGTGCCACAGCAGGACCAGGATGTGGCAGCTGGCCAAGCCGCCCCTTCCCCTGCCCTGCCGCTCCCCACGTGTTCTCACATATGCTCAAGCTTTTCAGGGTTCTCATTCTTTTCTGCAGGTACCGCCCACCCCTTGATGCCCAGGACCACTCTTCCTCACCTTGCCCTTGCCCAGGAATTGAGTGTGTCTCAGGCCCTGGAGCATCTCGGGTGTGGCTGGTGAGCGTGTTCTGTGCTGAGCACTGGTTCTGTGGTGTGCACTGGATTCTTGCACATAGACCATGCCTGGCTGCATTTTTAATTTTCAGCATCTTGTGTTTAACAGGGAGCCTCTCCAGTGCCTTCTTTTAGTTCTTTGAAACCTGGCTCCTAACCTAGATTCTTGTATTTACATCTCAGGTTCTCTGGCCTAAAACTTATTAAGGCATTTTTTAAACAGATACTTTTCCTAACAATGGTAGAAGTGGAGATGGAAGGGTGTGACTGTCACAGTGGCATAGTCTCTGTCCTCGGGGAACTCTGTTTTGTGTAGCCTCTTGGAGTTCTGATGTCAGGACTGTATTTTGGGAGGGATCCTTTCCCCAGCCTGCCTTCATTTTTCTCCAGGTCTGTGCTAAGGTTATCTCAGTTGCACACAGGTACTCAGCCTAGCTCATTCAGGACTGACCCCTAAGTGGATGTGATTGCTGCTTAGTTACTGCTGTTACCCAAGCATTCCCCCTCACCCCTCCTTTGATGTAGCACGACCCTCTACCTTTTGTTTCAGGGTTTCTCTAGAAATAGCTGATCACACTTTCCGTAGAGGAATTGGCAGTTGTGCATGAAGCCCATTTCTCTGGGTTCCCACGAATGTTTCCTGTTCCTGCCTCCTATTTGATGGATTTCCTGTCTGAGAGACTACTTTGGATTCAGAAGAACTTATTTCATTTTAAATCCAAATATAGCAGTGGTCACCAAAGAAAATGAACCCATTTAGTTTTTAATTTTGTGGCATTTACCACATCAACTTTCTGTAATATAGCACCCGTTTCTGTCATATGTATTGTGCAATATTATATGTAAACATCCCATAGTATATGTGACACACATATTGTACCTATACACTCACACATTATTTGTGTATCTTTAGCCATCTCCAGCCGTTTTTCCAGGGCTGTAAACTGGTCTGTCTTCATTTAGGCCCACCAGTGAAAACAGGGTGCACATCATGTCCAAGGCTGAGCTCATCTCTTGCTCCCTAACAAACACACCTTTTCTCCAGTATTTCTTTTCTGGGTGAAGGGCTGCTCACTGCCTGTCTCCCCTACTCACTGTCACTCCACTCGCCAGGAACTTTCGTTCCATTCCCTACCCTCCCTCATCAGCTGAATTCCCGAAGCCTGTTGACTTTATGTCCAGAGCAGTCTTGAGTCTGCCCTTTCTCCTACTGGCTTAGTTCCTAGTCCTCTTGCCCTTGCAGGCCTAGCACTGTTCCAAGTTTCCTGCCCCTTTGTAGGGAATTTCCTGGTGCCTTGTCACTCGTGCCTTCCCTCTGCCCACAGCCTTCCTCACCTTGTCTCAGTGAAGCCCTTTTGCAAGTCAGCACTGTCCTGCAGGGGCTCTGACACGTCCCTGTAGCCCTTCAGCGCCTGCTGTCAGGGTGACAGCACAGTACTGACACGGGAGCAGCCGCTGCTTAGGTGTCACAGCATGTGTGAGTGGTCGGTCTCCCTGCACACCATCCGTGGTCCCTCATCAGCGGAACAGTTGCGTGGTCCTAAACTGAGCCACTCCCGTGAGTCTCATCTATGTGGCTTTGTATACATGTGCCTCTCTCCAGCCCTGACTGTCCCCTGTCCTCCGTCCTACCCTTGGGTCTCCCGCCCACATCTCTTCTTTTCTGAGAGGCTGCTCTTAAGCGCTGGCCTCTACTTCAGGCCTGAAGATAGGCTTGTTCTCTGTGACCTTGTTGTTCCCTCTGTATGTCACAGGAGTGTGGCCACCAGACATGTTTTCTGTGTGGCTCTCGTTAGAGTGGGAAGACTAAAGGAACACAATTACCACGTGGAAGAATTGACTAGTCACAGAATGTCAAAACTGCTGCTATTGCCCTTTGGAAAAAAATTTTAAAAGAGTCTAGGTAATCAAATATTTAGGATATTATTTTTTCTCCATCTTTCAGCTTCAGGATGTAAAGATCTGAAGGAAATGGATTTCATTAAAACTCTTGGGTCAAAGTGTTACTGCTACAACCAAAATTCTCAAATATATTGGACATATATGTGGTCAACTCTGCAGGTAAGGCCTAATTTGAATCATGTCTAAAGGACAGGAAATAAAAATACACCATTTCAAGAATAAAAAGTACAAATGGTGTGCCATGTGGCTGAGTATCAGGACGAAAGCTGACGTCTGGCACATGCAGTAGCTGGAGGAGAGGTGATGTAGAAGGGACCTCAACTCCTCCATGCACCCCTCCGGCACCTTCCCAGACTGCTCCAGGTGAATACACCAGCTAAGTGAGTGCAGTGTGGCAGGTGATAATAAAGGTCAGAGGAAAGGTTAAAGGTCAGATGGTAAAGGTTAAAGGAAAGGTCAGAGCGGGTCTTATTATAAAGGGAATGTTTAAGAAAAAGTTCAGCAAAGTGAGTTAGCCAGAAAGATATATGGGGAATGCATGCTCCAGGCCGGTGGGGGGGGGGGCCACAGGGGACAGGAGGAATGTTTTATCGGGAAGCACACAATGCTGATTTGTCCCATTACCAATAATGTATACCACTTGGGGGGGGGGGTAGGGGGGTTCCAGAAATTGAACTCAGGACCTTGTGCTTGCCAGGCAGGTGCTGTGCTGCTGAGCTACATCCCTGGCACTGTATACCACTTTAATCATTCAGCACAGTATGTGTCATGCCCTTCTGCTTTAAAGTTACTACCATTTCCTCCCAATGAATGAGTACTTTGAAAGGATAATTTCCAACTATACTCTGTTCCCTTAGTGACTTCTACCCTGTAGTTTTATAATCCGCTGACAATATTTTCTTAATCAGTTATCATAATGTTTATCAAATGGTAATTTTCTTGTTCTTTTTTTTTAACATTCATTGTCATTTATCAGGGAAGAGTTTTTCCCCCCTTCTATTTATTAATTACTTTCTTGTTACCTACATAGCCTTGTGAATTTCCAGTTCATTCAGCAGAATATAAGCCATTATTCTTGTTAATTATTTTGATACTTAGATTGTCCCAGATTTGGCCAGTGGAAACTCCTTCAAACTAGCTCTGTGTCCCTGTAACTTGTGTCCACCAGTTTCCTAGACCCAACCTTGCAGTCCTACAGCCTACATTTTCCCAAGGAACATTCAGCATGAGGTGTGTGGATTGTTACTAGGGTATCGTTGTCACACTCGCGTGCACACACATACACACACACACACACACACACACACACACACACACCCATACACCCATACTCCTGAACAGATATCTATTTCTCTCTGTTGTTTACTGTCATGAGTTCTGATATCTCCAACACCACAGGGTTCATTCTAGCCTTTAGTTTTCTATATTTGTCATTTGCCACCATCCTCAGTATATTTATTTGCCCAATATGGGAATATGTTGAGAATAGTTTCAAAATTGCTAAGTCCTACTGTTGCAAAAAACAAAGCTAGGAACAGGAGCTTACTGGTTTATAGTGTTTTATCTGTATGGCAGTTTGAGGACAGAGAGTCTTAAGTTCTTGGCTCCAAGGTCCCTTGGGTTAATTCATTCCCACCCACCCCTCTTCAGCATAGCTATATCATTCATTCAAAATACTGTTTGTTTTTATGCATTTTCATTTCAGAATTTATACCCATTGTGGTTGATTTTAGTATTATTTTTGTGTGTATACAACATGAATATGCCTTTAAAGTCAAAGCTCTTCACGGAAGTATTCCCACAGAACCAAGTACTACTTCCCCAGCTCCCAGGCCCATCTTTTTTGCTTGTGGTATTGGGAATCAAACTCAGGACCTTGTGCTTGGCAGACGGCTCTGTGCCACTAAGCTGTATCCCCAGCCCTCAGGCCCTTCTTTCATTCCCACCAACCCCTTGTAGACAGTTGTGCCTTAGCTCTTGGTACACTCCCAGTAAAGTAAGCAACATTGTATCTTTATAGACAGTACTTAAAACCCTAAGACTAAGGGGTAAGGTTAGATGAAGAAGAGGACTGTGTTATTTTTTTCATTACTATCATGAAATACCTGAAGCAAGCTTGCTTTGTAAAGAAAAGAGGTTTACTTGGCACATTCTTCTGACAGCTAAAAGTCTGGACAGCATGACCCAGACTCTTTCGAGGACCCCACAGGCTGCATCACCTCAAGGTGGATGGCAGAGGTGGGAGCACATGTGAAACAGGGAGCCAGGGAGATTGAAGGGGTAGCTCGTCCTTTCAACTGCTCGCTTGGAGAAAGCTCCACCTATCCAGTGACCTGAGGATCTCCCATCAGGCCTGGTGTCTTGAAGATGCCACCACCACTCGACACTGCCACCCTGGGGATCACACTCCCACTGTAGCCAGGTGGCAGCCAGGACTGTTGGCTCAGCCTGGGTCAGTCAGGCATAATGAAAGAACCTGCAAAAAAGAGAAGGAGCGAGCAGTGAAAGTCATGGAAGAAGGTAACTGAGAGAAGGGAGTTTCCGGCAAACTAGCTCACCGTGCAGTGCAGCAGCATGGCAGTGCCGGTGACAGCCGCTGGGTGAAATGCTGGCAAAAGGGCACCAAGGAGAGAAAGGGAGGAGAGGAACTGAAGGCCGCAGACACAGGCAGCGTAAGGAGGACTTGTATTGTCATGAGAAGCACAGATTCAGGAGCTAGCAATGGGAAAGTGGAGTTCTTAGAAGATGGTGGTTGTTTCAAATAGGAAAATGTAGGCGTGATCTAGTAGAGAGAAGTGCCGGGCAGATGTATTCGTGAGAGCGGGGTGGCCTGTGGGGTCTGCCTTGAGTGGAGCATTTTCATCTCCTCTGTGGCAGAGAGCCTGTAGCTGCAGATGCTGACAGGCAGGTGGCTCCAGGCAGAGGAGCAGGGTGACGCTGATTGCTGAGGAAGATCATCAGCTGAGAGTGAGGATGGGAGCTGCTGGTGTCTTTGGGGAGTCATCTGTTGAGAAGAGTAGATGAATGGATGGGTAAGAACATGGGGTATGGATGGCTGCTCTTCAGGTCCCACTTCAAGCTCACTGCCAAGGATTTGAAGCAAGTCCACCATATGTGTCTCCAGGGATCTGCTGGCACAAATACAAAAGTGGAACAGGTGGAGAGTTGTGTTTTTCAAGAGAAAGCAAGGAGGCATGGTCGGCTTATGTTGATCATAGAACTTGGCTAGATAGAAGGGTCTGAGAACATCGAGGGGTTGAGGAGCAGGGAAAAGATGTTCTGATCCCTGGTGGGGGGGGCAGGGTATTAAGGGGGCATGCTAGAAAGATAGTAGGTGGTTATAAGGGCCACAGTGTGCTAGGTGGGTCCAAGGTACAGCTATGAGAGTGATTAGCTGAGGTGGGATGGCGTACAGGAGTCCACAAAGGGGGAGCACCTGAACCTGAGAGACCCTTACATATCTCTTGGCCACAGTGACTTGGTACAAGAGATATGCATTAGTCACTTCTCTGTTTTGGGGACAAAATAACCTAATACTCACCATTTAAGGAAAGAGTTTATTTAGCTCAAGGTTTCAGATGGTTTAGTCCATGGTCAGCTGGCTCCAAGGTAGACACACTGTGGCAGAAGGACGTGGCTGGTAGGAAGCAGAGCGGAAACGGAGGAGCCAGGAACAAGACCATACCCTTCCAGGTCACACACCCAGAGACCGACCTCTTCCGACCAGACCCTGCCTCCTGATAGCACATTCAGCTAGGGACTCACTGGTGTGTGAATCCACCACCATGATCTGTCACCTGCAAGGTGCATGAGACTTTGGGCGTATACAAGAGTTGTGAAGACAACTACAACTCAGGAGAAGAAGCATCTATTTTCAGAGGTGTTTGTAGTCTAGTGTGTGTTTGGACTACATGTAGGTGTGTAGGACCCACGTCTAGGACTGGTACATGACTGTGGATATCTGTGTGTCCTTCCCTCAGCTAGTCTTAGGTTCTCCTTCTTCCTCTGCTCACCTTTTAAAGAAGTGTATGACGTTTTACTTTGGTGTTTATGGATTTGTTTGTTGTTTTGTAGGTGAACATTACCAGTCCAGTCCTCCTTAGTATTGCATATATCACAGAACAGCATAATTGCCAGTATCCAGAAACGATTCTATCTGTTATCAAATGTATAATTTATAACTTTCGGACACCAAAGGAAACTAATAAATTGACCATAACCATCAGTCCGTACAAGGAGACTGTGTGCTTCACTCTGAAGCCTATCAAGAAGACAATTGTCTATACTATAAGTGTGAATCGAAACAGTAAGTCTGTTTTCATTATACCTGACTTCCTGGGTTCTGTCTCTTCTTTTACCAATGTTATATTGACACAAAATATTTGTTGTGTGTATCTTTTTTTTTACTCCAGTTGTGGATTTCAAACTCTTCCTTGTGTTTGTGGCAGGCGTTGTCCTTTACTTTTATGCAAAGACCTTGAGCCAGTAAGTATTCATTTTTATATTCTCAACTTAGTGATTTCAGAAGGGGATAGGTCCTGTTTGACCCTATGCTAAACATCTGCAAACCCCTGTAGAGCTTGTAGTTCCTGCTTTAGGTTTTGAAAACAACAGATCTGAAGATAGTGTTTGAAAGATCTGTAAAGAGGGCAACAGTTGTTCGTATCGCCTGATGTGTACACGGTACCTGGGGCTTTCATGTACACTATTTTGTGTGTTAATATTTCCATAACAACTATATAAGCTCTGCATCATTGTTCTCCTTGTGTGAGGATTAGAAAACCAGCACCCAGCTTCACGTGAGCGTTCCCATCAAAGCCAGGCTTCAGACCCCTGTTCTGTGATTGGGCTGCTTGCTCTGTTGTATCAGACGTAGCTCCAGGAGAGGAGATTGGCCATAACAAACATCTCTTAGATAAGCATGTTATGCTGAGGTTTTGTTTCTTGCCATTTTCCTCAAGAAAAAGTCATTCTCTGTCTAATATTTTACTTCTCAACTTGTTCATGCTAGTTCGTACCCGGCATCGGTCAGCTGTTCTTGACAATGCTCCTCCTTGTGCTCTTGCGTGTCCAGTGGCTGGGCACCGTCCAGAGCCTCTCGGCCTGACGGTGTGTGCAGTACCCGGTAGTAAGAGCGGGGCTGGGCTGTGCCAGCCGGGCCTCAGGTTAGCATACACTCACCCAGAGCGGTGTGCGGGCTGCTGGGACCCTACCAGGGCCTCGACCGCTAAGCTGCATTCCAACCCCTCTTCTTTATTTTATGAGAAAAGTATTTTCATAACCAAATAATACGAGAATGTACGTTATTACACTGTGTATCATTATCTTCAAAGTACTCTGTACAAGACATAAACCAAAGATTCTTAGAAGAAACAAAGAAGTAATAACGTAAACTTTTTTTTTCAGTGAACTAAGATAAACTTTTAGTATAAGTGAAACAATTAGCATATATATTGAAATAATTTTAAAGCAACAGAATATGTAATTTGGGAAAGTATTTGAACTTTTATCTAAGAAAAACCATGCAGTATTTGAAGTTGTGTGTCTGACTTACTTCACTTAACATGTTCTCGGCACAGGGTATTGCTTCCCGGGTGGGGATCACCTCCTGGTGAGGCCCCCCTGTTCTCTCCCCCCACAGTCCATGAATGGCACAAACTCCCTGAGAGAGAGGCTTGGGTTGCATCTGGTTACCCATAAATGCCTCAAGTTTATCTTTCTTTGTGGCCTCGTAGTGTATAAATAAATCTTTCCCTTATTCAGTCATCATTCTTAGGCATATATGCTGTGTCTAAGAGAGCTATTATAAATTGTGCTGCTATACAAATGGGTGTGCATGTATCCCTGTAATATGATGATCTTAACTCTGAGGGAGATACCTAGGAGGGAAATAGCAGGATCAAATGGAATTTTAGTGTTCAGACTTTTAAAAAATCTCTGCACAGATTTCCATACTAGTTGCACTAGCTGATAGTCTCACAATGTAGAAAAATCGCTTTCCCCCCACATTCTCACCAGATATCTCAGTGTAGTTTAAATTTGTAGGTTTTTTATCATAACGCCCTTAAAATCTTTATTTATTCATTCACTTGTTCGTTGCTAAGTTGCCTGGAATTGGATCCTCCTGTCTCAGCCACCAGAGTCCTGTGATTTGCAGTTGTGTGCCACGGTGCCTGCTGATGGGGAGAGCAAAGCTGCCTGGTGCTTTGATTTCCTCTGTAAAGCGTCTATGTGAATGGTTGTGGCTGCATGTGGTCTCAGACAGCTGGCTCCACGCGCCAGGTGCTCAGTTACTGTCAGGTCTTATTCTGAATAGAGAAAGTAATGCAGGCATTCAGTTTGCCTTAGCGACGAGGTACTCAACATACATTTCAAATACTGACTTCAAGTGTAAGAACATAAGATACAACTAGAGTTGCCCTCTGTGTTTTTTCTTTCACAGGATTCTTTATGGCTACCATTGTTGTATCAAATGTGTTCCATGCAGAAAGTGCTGCTTGGCATTTAAACCGTTTTTATCTTCTTGTCTTGACAGAAGTGCCGTTTTCTATTACTCCTCAGGGACTGTGCTAGGTGTTGTGATGACATCAGTCTTTGTCCTGCTGTTGGCGAAAAGATACATCCCAAAGGTAGGCTACTGGGTGCAGATGAAGCAACGTGGAAACCATGGCCTCATGGATACGAAAAACTAGTGGGAATTGTGTAGCTCGCATTAGGCATTTCTTTATTCAGTCTATGGCCTTCACTACATAAACGGACTTTAAAATGTCTCTTTGTGGAGAGTCCATTTTTAATTATTGTATATAGGCATATCAAATTATTAAATATTTAAAAATTATTAAATATTGGTGACACATTCTTTGAGATTCTAGGTACCTTTTTTAATGAATAAGATAGATTCTATATTGAGTAAAAGCTTTTCTCATCTTGGCAGAACTTAGAAATCTCACTTGGGGCCTTAATTAACAGCATTGCTACATCTGGATTTTTCTTCACGATAAGTAGTTCTCCAACACGCCTTCAATAAAATAAGGTTCTGAACTTAGCTGAAGATAAAGTGTGTTAATGCAAGATGGTAACGTTGCATGTAACATTGTTAAACCAGCATTACTTTGAGATAAATGTGTTCCTTTGACTAGGGCTTCTCCAACTCTAATGTGCCTCTAATGTGCCTCTAATGTGCCCTGGGGGTAGATTCTGGTCTGCAGAGCCTGCATTTCCCACAGTCCCCGGAGCAGGGCTGCACTGCTGATTGGGGACCATGCCTTGAGTCACAAGGTGCTGTTGAGTTTAGTTCAGTTCAGTGCAGAAGTTTCTAATACAGAAAGGTTTATTTGTTTGCTTCTATTTTTATAAGATTGACCGAATCAAAAAATATGTCATTTATTTTCTTCCACACACAGTATAGCACCTTTTGGGCTTTAATGGTTGGTTGTTGGTTTGCTTCAGTTTATGGTATATACCAGTTGATGGAAGAGCTGAAGTGGCTGTGGTACAGAAACGGAATGTATATATTAGGTAGGTAAATGTTTCTAAAACCGCGTTGTATTATGGTGAAGCTGAAAAGTACACCTAGAAGACTTCTTTCAACATGTGTTTCTCTCTAGCATCTAAATTTTCATTTTGAACTAAGGAGAGATGCTATTAAAAGAGCATTTTGCTTATTCTCTCATAATTGATGTTTTCAGTTTATTCAGGCTTCATTTTAAACTATTTTTCTATAATCTTTCCTAGTTTTTTCGTAGTAACGGCTGGAGGAATAAAAAGCCACACATAATGGTGTATGCTTATGAACCCGGCACTGTCTGAGGCAGGAGGGTTACATGGTCAAGCAATTTAGCAAGACCCAGCATCAAAATTAGCAATTAAAAAGGCTGAAGATATCGTCATTGTGAAGGCCCTAGGCTTGATCCCCACTACTGGAAAGAAAAACTGAAAAAAAAAAATGTGTCCTGTGACAAACATGCTTCTGAATTGTGGTTAAGCTCTAACCACATCTAACTTGTCTTATAAAAATTTCTCAAAAATGTGGCTCTTTATTTTCTTTTTTCTTAATTCAGTACGAAAGGTAAGAAATTCTAAATATAAACTGACTTAAAAAATCTTTTCAGAAACAGAAGCTAGAAAAAATTCCTTTACCTTGTTTTATGTTACCAAAATAATTTTTTTACAATGGGAAATAATGGATGAGAGAACACGTGGAATCAAACTTACTTATATAAACATGCCACCCCTCAAATAAAAGCAGTTATTTTTTTGTTTGTTTGTTTTACCTGAAAATGTTACGCTTTTCTCTCTCTCTCTCCCTCCACACAGCTGAGGCTTGAACTTGGGGCCCCACGCACGCTGGGAAATGACTCCTCCAGAGCTGTAACTGAGTCCCTTATTTCTCTCCTTATCTTAGGTGCTTTCATGTAAATTATAGATAGCATGGTGTGCACCCCCGAGTGCTTCACTGCACATCTCTAAAACACAAGAACGTTCTCTGTATAGTCAGATCACTCACTGAAACTGGGCCATGTGCTTGCACACACGGTACCACTAAGCTACAGCCCTTACCCCACTATTACATTTTTAAAAAATCAATAATTACATGATCATCTATTATCTGGGCCATGTTGAAATGTCTCTCTTGTCCTTAATAACTGATTTTGGAAAAACTAGTCTGTATTATAGAGACATAATTTGCACCCGTTGTGTTCTGTAAACCTTTTAATCCGCAGTAGTTTTTTTTTAAATCATGGTGGTATGCTGAAAAGACCAAGCAAGTTACCTCATAGACTGCCCACTTTCTGGAGTCACCGGATGATGGGTTTGTGGCATCATTTCTCTCATCCCTCTCTCTCCCACATTTTCAGGCCTTTGGCAATTAGGTCTTGAGGTTTGTTTGTGTATAATCTATCCCTTTTGGGTAGAATATGTAAGAGGCGATGTGCACTTTAGCTCACATCTGAAAACCCAAGACACCACACAGTCACACCATTAGTAATGGTGAACTGAGCTGTGGGTTAGGCGGGTGACTGTTTGATCCCTCCACTGTAAATTACATTTTCCACCCGTGACTAGATGATAAAAAAATGTGAAGTAGGGTTACAGCAGAGAGTGACATCCACTGTGACTTATTCCTGACTCAAACACCGTGATAACATTTGCCCATCTAGGACACTAGACTAACAACAGACATATTTATAGGAGACAGGATCAAGACATACAGTGAATGTTTAGAATTGTTAAAAATTACTAGTGTCTTTAGTTTTAGCTGCCTAGATGTCCTGATTCAATTCAAAACATTTACTTTTTTAAGGCAAAAGAAATAAAAACAGTGATGCAAAATTTCAAAACAAGATAGGAGAATAATAATACATTGTGCATTATCTTCCTAGTAGTTGCTTGTATTACAAGTCATAGGCATGAAAAATTGCAAACAACATAAGCAAACCTCTCTTTTCAGAAACTAATAGAAATTAGTACTATAACTATCTTACCTATCTTGTGTGTATGTAGACATATATTTTTTTTTCCTTTTCCCTTCTTTCCCTTGCTGCCATCCAGTTTCTCTTTCCTTTTGAGCAGTTTCTTCCCATTTCAAATGTATCTATTGTACATTTTGGATCATGTTTACTCTTTCAACTTCTTACACTAGGGAGGCAAAGTGATGTTTATGTATATGAGTGATTTGTTTCACTTACGTATGGTCTCAAGTTGCATCCATTTACCTATAAAAGTCTCAAGTTTATCCTTCTTTGTGGTTGAGTAGTACTCCATTGTATAAAAATACCGCATCTTTTCTATTTGTTCCTTGGTTGATGGGCATTTGAGTTGTTTCCAAGATTCACCTATGACAGATTGTGCTGCTATGAACATGGGTGCACATATATTGCTGTGATACGATGTTTTTAATTCTGGGAAAATACCCAGAAGGAGAATAGCTATGTTGAATGGGACCTTTACTTGTAGTTTTTTTGAGGAATCTCCACGCTGATTTCCACAGTGGCTGCACCCACCAACAGTGGAAAAGGATTCTTTTTTCCCCGTAGCCCTTCTAACATTTGTTATTGGTTGAGTTCTTGGTGTTAACCAGTTTTCCCAGCACCATTTATTAAAGAGACTGTTTTTTTCCCAGTGAACGTTTGGTCCCTTTATCAAAGATAAGGTGGTCGAACATCTCTGTGGTTGTCCCTGCATCTTCTAATCTGTTCCATTGACTTTAAGGTCTGGTTTTTTTGTTTTGTTTTGTTTTGTTTTGTTTTGCCAGTAATATGGTGATTTTATCACAGTAGCTTTGTAATATAATTTAAAGTCAGGGATTGTGATGCTTCCTGCCTTGCCTTTGTTGCCCAGAATTGCTTTTGCTATTCTAGATCTCTTACAGTTCCAAATGAATTTTAGGAATGTTTTCTCTAGTTCTGTGAGGTATGCAATGGTATTTTCATTGGAATTGTATCAAATCTGTGTAATGCTTTTGGGAGTTTGGCCATTTTCACTATGTTGGTTCTTCCTATCCATGAACAACGGATATCTTTCCATTTTCTGATATCCTCTTCAATTTCCTTTTTTCAGAGTACTGTAATTTTCATTGCATAGATCTCTTACTTCCTTTGTTAGACTGATTCCTAAGTATTTCATTTTTTTTTAAGATGCTATTGTGAGGGATGGGGTCTCCTTAATTTCTCTCTCAGTAAGTTTGATGTTTGTGTACAAGAATGCTATTGATTTTTGAGTGTTAACTTTGTATCTAGGTACACAACTGAATTTGGTTATTTTGGGGTCTTCAATGTGGAATATCATGTCATCTGCAAATAATGATAATTTAACTTCATCCTTTCTTATCCTTGTTCCTTTAATCTCTCTCTCTTGTCTAATTGTTCTGGCTAATGTTTCCAGACCTATATTGAACAAGAATGATGATTATCAGATTGGGATAAAGACCATCTATTATGATTTTCTGTAGGGTTTTTATGAATGAGTGTTGGACTTCATCCAAAGCTTTTTCTGCATATATTGAGATGATAATGAGGGTTTTTTTCTCTTTGTATCTGTTGATATAGTGTATTATATTTATTGATTTGTGTATGTCGAACCATCTCTGCATTCCTGGGATGAATCCCTCTTGGTCATAGTATATACTCTTCTTGATGATTTGCTGCACTCTGTTAGCTAGTATCTTACTGAGGATTTTTGCATTTATGTTGGGCGATTGGCCTATAGTTCTCCTTTTTTGTTGAGTTTTTGTCTGGTTTTGGTATCAGGATAATACTTGCCTCCTGGCATGAGTTAGGCAATGTTGCTTTCCTTTCAGTTTCATTAAAAAGTTTGAAGAGTACTGGCATTAAATCTTCTCTAAATTTCTTGTAGAATTCAGCAGATACTCCATCAGGACCTGGCTTTTTCTTTATTGGTAAGTTTTAATTACATTTTCAACCTCATTAACTGATATTGTGTTATTCAGAATTTTTACATCTTGATTCAGCTTTGGTAATTCATATATATCTAGGAATCTGTCCATTTCTTCTGTGTCTTTCATCCAATGAGAGTAAAAAATTTTGAGGTAGGTATTAATGTTCTGAAATTCCACAAGATCTGTAGTGACTTGAATCTCTTCATTCCTCACTGCATAAATTCGAGTCTTTCCTTTTTTTATCAGATTGACTGCTTATCAGTTTTGATTTTTCAAAGAACCGCCTTTTTGATTCATTAATTCTTTGTATTTTTTTCTCAGTCTCCATTGCATTAATTTCTGCTCTGATCTTTATAATTTCTTCCTCCTTGAGATGGGCTTTGGGCTTCTTGCTCTTATTTTTGTGGAACCTTGAGGTGCAACATTAGGTTATTTATTTTGCTCATTCTGTTTTCCTGCTGTGAAAATTCACGCTATTATTTGTTGCCTCCCATAAGTTCCAGTGTGTTATATCTGCATTCTCGTTTAGTTGTACATACTGTTTAATTTCTTCCTTAATTTCATCTGTGACCCTTTGGTTGTTTAGGAAGGTGTTAGTTAATTTCCATGTGTTTATGGAATTGTTGTGGTTTATTTTGCCATTAATTTCCAATTTCATTGTACTGTGGTCAGTTAATATGCATGGGATAATTTCCTTTCCTTTGCATTTACTTGAGCATGTTCTATGGGCTAGTGTATGGTCTATTTTAGAGAACATCTTGTGCAGCTGAGAAGAATGTGTATTCTGATACTATTGGGTGGAACACTCTGAAAACACCCACTAAATCCATTTTTTCACAGGTTTGCTTCAGTTCTGATATTTCTTTGCTGATTTTTTGTCTAGTTGATCTATCTCTTTGTGGCAGCAGGGTATTAAGATCTCCTCCCATTACAATTGTACTATTGCTTATTTGATTTTCCATGTTTATTAATAATTGTCTTATACAGTTGGATGCTCCTATATTTGATCCTTAGGTATTTGTGATTGCTATCTCTTCCTCTTGAAGTTTTCCCCTAACAAGTATGTAGTAACCTTCTTTATCTCTTGATCATTCTTGAAGTTCATATTGTCTGCAAATAGAACAGTTTTGCTGTCTTGTTCTGAGTTCCTGTTGCATGGAAGATTGTTTTTCACCCTTTAGCTGTCAGACTGTGAATTTCTTTTTGCGTTGAATATGTTTCTTGTATACACCATATTGTTGGATATTGTTTCTTGATCCATTCTCCCCATCTGTTTCTTTTGATTAGTTGAGCTGAGGCCATTTACATTGATAGTTACAACTGATATGTATTGTCTTGTTTCTGTCATGATATTTTCCTGCAGTTGGTTCCCTGCTTTTCCTCTCTGTTTAATTTCTTGTCCTACCTGGTGTTTTTTTTTTCTGTTGTTATTCTTGGAATTGAGATCATTTTTATCTCAGTCTGGAATATCTTTTAGTATTCTCTATAGGGTTGATTTGGTGTTCATGAATTTCTTCAGTTCTTTGTCATAGAAATATCTTATTTCTTCTGTTAATTTTGAAAGACAGTTTTGCAGGATACATCAATGTGACTTAGAAGTTATTTTCTTTCAGGACTTGAAATACTTCACTCTAAGCTCATCTTGACTTAAGGGTTTGTGTTGAGAAGTCTGCTGTGATTCTGATGCGCTTTCCTCTATAGGTGATCTGTTTCTTTTCTCTAACAGCTTTTCATATTTTGTTCTTACGCTGAATTTCTGGGATCTTGACTATTATATGTCTTGGTCATGCCTGTTAGGAGTTCTGTGTGCTTCATTTAGTTCTATGTCAAATTCCTTATCCATGCTTGAGAAGTTTTCTGCCATTGTTTCTGTGAAGACTTTTTTAATGGTCTTTGTGTTATCTTCAGCTTTCTCACTGACCCCAGTCATTTATGTTGTTCTTCTTTGCTTCATCTTATAGCTGTTGAATTGAGTTTTCATGGTTTCTTGCTATTTTTATGGTCACTAGCTGCAATTCTGTCTTCACGGTCTGAAGCTCTATCCTATCCTTCATTCAGTCTGTTTCATATACTTTCAATGAAGGCTTTAATCTCTTGGATTTCTGTTTGAAATTCATCTGTTTCATGGATTCCATTTCTTTCCTATGTTGGGCATTTTTTGTTTCCATTATTTTTCTAAGTTCATCTGTTCTTTCATTTGTGTCTTCTATAATATCTTTGATTTTAAGCATCATTTCTTTTTGTACCTGAGAGATTGTTTTCTCCATAGCCTTTTCTACTTTTTTTTTTTTTTTTAACTTCTGTTGCTATCATTTCAAAAGCTCCAATGTTTGAATTCCAATTTTGTCTGTCTCATTGAGTTCTGGGCTTGTCTTAGGTGGGCTGGCTGTCTGGGCTTACAGTTTGCTTCTGTGTCTTGTCATTTTCTTTTGTCTTCTATGTTGATCCTTGCCAGTTTCTTATGATAGCTTTATCATTGATGTTGAGGTTTCCCTTGGAGATGTCTGTTCTTCAGAGATGTCCTCTAGATGAACCTGCATTTCCAGTTCTAAAGGATGGAAAATTACTATTTGACTCAACACCCAATCCTTGGTACTGGGTTGTGGTGATGATTATGACCCCATACAATCACAGTGCTATCATATAGGGGAGAAAAACTGTTTATAACATGTAAGACATCCTGGCTAAAAGAGTACAGTTAGTAATAACAGTATTGTCAAGTACAGCTTAACTGCTGACAAACTATGATAGCCATTAACCTGCTACCTCCAATCATAGGAGCAAACTCTAAAGTTATATAACAAAATAAACCATAGCATGCACTTTTATTCAGTGATTTTCCCCTTAGTGGATTGATTTTACCCTTTTGTGGGGAGCAGGCAGTTACGATGGGTAGAGGACAGGATAAAATGATTAATAAGGTCAAATATAGTTAGGTCAAGGCTGGAGGTCAGTGGATGATCACCTAAGTCTTAGGAAACAAGACCACAAGGAGGGAAAGGATGAAATAAATGGGAAAGAGTGATCAGAAAGGGAAGAGGCAGTGTTGATTGGATGTTTAAGTTCAAGAATTGAAAAGCAAAGAAAGACGATCAGTAGAAGAAAATGAAAAAGAAAGGTAAGAAACCTAAACAGTGAAAAAAAAAAAAAACAGAAAGAAGAAAGAGGAGAATGAAAAAAGAAAAGAGGAAAGAGAGAGACGGACAGACAGACCAGAAAAAGAAAGGAAAATGAAGGGGGAAAAAGCCCCAAAACAAAAATAACCACAAAATACAAAACAAAATAAGATGACATCCAGCCAGACAGTAGAAAAGTAGCCAATCAGACAAACAGGAGAGAATAAAAGTTGTGAAATACCCTTGATGGTTACAGTTCTGTGCGAGTGTCCATGTTAGATCCCAGGAATGTGTGGGGTATGGAGCCGATCTCGGGCCGGGACTGGTCTTCTGTCAGTGGAGCTCACCAGACCCATCTGCTGGCTCCTGGCTGCTGCTTCAGACGCCTATGCATTGCTGGTCTCACCGATTACTGTGTACTCAAAAGGCGTGTGTGCACCCGGAGCCCTGCTGTCCTGGGTCTCGGTGGGCCCGTTGCTCTGCCTGCCAAAGCCATGCATCAAAGCATTTATTTACCTTTCATGGTCATTTTGACTTTGGGAAGGGCTAGAAGTTCTGCAGTTCTAGACCCAGTAACTAAGATGGACGAGGACCACTGTCTTGTTTTCATGAGCCTGCCTTTCAGTTGGATGGCACTCATCAGTAACAATCACTGTAGTTTTTATGACACTTCATAAAGACACTCACCAAAGGTGAGCTTCTGGCACAGGTTTCAGAGAATGGCAAGAATGATGGGCCGTGTGTTTGGGGATGGTGGCAGTGTGTCCTACACCGCAATACGTTTTCTAGTTCATTCACTGTATATCTTCATCATGTTCTTATATCATCATAATGATTATAAAGCCTTCTGATGTACAAAAGGCAGCCTATTGGAATGAATAAAAATCTGTAAGATTTTTTTCAACTTTCATTGTCAAAAAGCCCCCCCAAAACAACATGAACAGTTTTCTGGTAGCACTACCCTTACGTCAAGGCTTTCCCGGGTTTTCACATTTCACGTTTATGTGTTTATGCCTCTTTGTTTTCCAGGCTATGTCCTGGTCGTCGGGTTTTTAAGCTTTGCAATCTGTTACAAGCACGGGCCCCTCAAGAACGCCAGGAGCAAGATGCTGCTGCTGTGGACGCTGCGGCTGCTCTCCCTACTCCTGATCTACGTGGGCATGGCCGTGCCGCAGCTCGCCTACACCGTGATGCTCCTGCTTGTGTGCTCCCCAGGTCTGCCCTACATCTGGAAAACACTGAGTTACTTCAGGCGGTGCGTACGGGTTCTGTCCCCAGTCAATTTCACATACTGAGCTCTGGTTTTCCTTACCATTCGGGGATTTTTTTGCGTACATCATATTTGATCTCAGGATTAACCATGCTTAGGAGATTTTACTCTGAGAGTGGGGAGGAAAGAGTTCCAAGCATCAATCCATCTCCATTTCTAATCTGCATTAATCTTTGAAGCTTGTAGAGCTCACTCTGACTTTACTAAAATCAGTGGTACAATGACTTGGGAATCTCAGTTACCTAAAATTTCTACTTTTAGTCTTGATTTTGTTTCATTAGAGCCAAAGGCTGCTTTAGTGATACTAGTTGTGCTTATAGTTACAGAAAAAAAATCATAAATGATTGAATAGGTTCTTCAATTCACTGCACTAAGGGATTTCTTTTCTCTTAGGTTTTAAATGAAGGCTTAAGCCTTTTGAAAATATAAAATAGATTAACCAAATTCTGCTGTCACAGCTTTCTGTGTCTCTCCTCAGTCCTGGAGTCTTGAGTATGTGCTTTTGCATCATGTGCTCAAGTGGGGATGGTCCCAGCCCTGGGGAGCCCTTGAGGACGTACAGACATCCATTTCTATATTTTAAGTGTTAGAATAGAGTTTAGGGGGCGTAGTGACAGATGATTGTAATCCCGGCACTCAGGAGGCTGAGCCAGGAGGATTGCCATGCGTTTGAGGCCAGCCTGGGCTACACATTACAAAGCCTGCCTGAACTACATAGTGAGACTCTGTGTCAACAACAACAATGAAAATAGAGCTTGCCTAGGAACTAAGATATACAGAAAGTTCAGGAAAGCTGTCCTGAAGCTGACAACGCTGGGCTGGATCTTAAATAATGAACCAACAGGCCCTGATGAGTAAACCTGGAGCGTGCTCCTGACAGAGAAAAGACTCATCCAGAACCATCAGCATAGCAGGGGAAGCAGGCACTGGCCAGGTCGGGCTGCCTCACAGGCCGTGCTGTCTGATGAATCTCATCTGATCCTCCTATGGGAGCAACTAACCATTCGGGGATTTTTCTGCAGCCCTAGTGCAGGTTGGTCTGTCTCTTGGTTGCCTAGTTAAAATCCAGGTGCCAGGCAGGTTGAGGCTGTGGATGACAGGAGGCCCGGGGGAATTCTGCAGTGTCCCTTCCCAAGAGGCAGTGACCCCAGCTTCAGCTGATAGTGGGCATATGGGTCCTGCATTGCCAGATCTTCTAATTTTCTTGAAAACTAGAAACATGAATGAGGATTAGAATGTGAATCCTAATGGTTTTTAAATGTTGGCACTTCATCTAATTAAAATGTAAAATGCATTGAATAAACTGAAATCCAGTCAGAAACCGTGAACATTCATGGGCCAGTGGAATGTGGCCCATGTGTCCTCTCACTCAGGGTGGGTCATGGGGGAGACCCCTGTGAAAGGAGAGCCAGCCTTACACGTCACAGCTGTCTAGACAATCCCAGATAAGGACCTGGAACAGGCCAGTGTGACGGTCACCACTGGAACAAAATATCTGACACACGCAACTTAGAGAAGTTGCTTTTGGCTCACGGTTTTCAGAGGGTCCAGGCCATGATTGGTTGGCTCCGGGTAGAAATGGCATGGAGGGAAAGGATGGCTGAGTGAAACTGGCCCACACATGGCAGCTGGGAGGGAGAGAGGAGAAGAGCTAGGGATGCAAACGCCTCTCAGGCGCCTCCCCCAGGGACCCACCTCCAACCAGGCCCCACCTCCCAGAGCACATGGAGCTCCAAACCCTCAGTCCTCTGAGAATAGTCCCCTGTGACCCAGTGACCTTGCACAAGCCTCACCTCTGGACACGTGGGGCTCTGGGAGGACACTCTAGAGCTGAGCCATAGCAGGCAGTGCGACCAGTGCTAGAAGGGGCCCTAGCAGATGTTGAGTGATTTGGCCATGAAAAAGGAGACTGTCTGGTGACAGGTAGTTTATGGATCTGGGAACAGCGTGGCAGAGTCACAGGGTTGATAACACATCAGTGACAGGATGAGGTGCACACACAGAAGCTGGTGGCAAACTGGAAGACAGCAGTGCCAATCGGGGTGGACCCCGAGTGGTCCCCACGGTCCTGCCAAGGCAGCCCGGGCCTGTCAGGCCCAGAGGTCCTTCTGCCCGGAGGAGGCTGGCTACCTGCGTCCTCCAGGCCCTCGCACTTTGCCAGGCTGTGGTGTCTCAGGCCACAAACTTGAGGACGGAATTCCTCCCTCCTCCTGTTTAACTGTACAGCTGTTCTGCTAAGAGCGAGTGGGTCCTGTCACCTGCATGATCAAAATGTCCTGTAAGTGACTTAATTTTAACTTTTAACTAGTGGATATTATGTGAAGAACTAGGGAATAAAACAGAAACTCATACGTTAAGTGGTAAGCTAGAAATATACTATCTTGATTTTGTGCAGTACTTTCTAATTTAAAAGGGTTGCTTATGTATATTTTAATATTTCAGGTGTGCTTACTGAACACTCACCTTGTAACTCTAAGCCACACAAAAATCTCCTTTAATCCATGCAGTGACTTCCCGAGTGTTGTGGCTTGTATACAGATGTCCCCCAGAGCCTCACACTCATAGGCGGTGCTTTTTAGGGCTGGCTGGATCTTGGGCAGTGGTGGCGAACGTTTTAGAGTCGAGTGCCCCAACTGCAATCCTAAATTCATTTACTTATTTCAAAGTGTGAACTCTACAGTTAAACCTGAGTAGCGAGGTTTTAGTTTAAAAAACACAATTCATACATTAACATCTTTTGCCTTAAAAAAAAAATAACATGCATACCATGGATTTGCCACCAGTGATCTAGGACTAAGAATGTATAATTACTGTATTACTGCACTGATTGGTGTAGAGCGGTTCTGAGTATGGGTCATGGCCAGGTCCACAGGTGTGCTGGTATCCAGGATGGGACCGAAAAGGAAAAGAGGCGCCCTTGCTATGGCTGCTGCTGCCTTCTGCCTGCCACACACACACGTGAGCTGTTTCTCCTCTGGGATGCCCGCTGGTGTGCTGCTCTGCTGTGGAGCCAGCCAGTTATGGACTGAAAATCTATAAACTAAGCTGAAATAACCTTTTCCTCCTTTAACTGGGGTATTGGGTATTTTGTCTCAGCAGTGATAAAGTGATGAAGACAAGGAGGTAGATCTTACTGTTTTCATTATTGTTTTTAAAAAGTGAGACTCAGGACTGTTAAAGAATCTCACTTAGTAAATCCAGACTGGGAAGAGGCCCCAGGCCTCTGGCTCAGAGACCAGGAGTTTCCTCTGGGAGACCAGGCGAGGTATTCAGAGGAGATGAATGGAAGTGGCGTCAGTCAGTCTCCCCCGGCATGTCAGCCATTCGATGCTCTGATACAACAAACGAGCTTTGAAGTCCTGACCCTCAAGAAAATATACATGTTTGAAAAACCACCTGGTAACTTAGATGTTTGTTCACATTTGGAAATCTCTGGTTGTATCAGATGTTATGGCTTGTGTTTAGATGTCCCCCGAAAGCCCGATGTGGTCGTAGGTAGAACTTCTTCAGAGTTAGCTGGATTAGAGTGTTATACTGGGATTGATTCTTGGTGCAGTGCTAGAATCAAGGGCACAAGGAGTGAGAGCTGCCTGCCCGGAGTAGTCTGGGTAACATAAAAGGGACAGAGCTGCGGTCATCACTTGTTGCTTTTGCTACTTTCCACCCACCATGAACTGTTTCTCTTCTGCAAGGCCCCTCCACCATGCCACCCTGCCATGGAGCTAACCAACTGTGGGCTGAAACCTCTACACTGTGAGCCAAATAAACCTTTTCCTCTTTAACTGTGGGTATCAGGTATTGTGTCTCATCAACAAAAGACAAGTAACTAAGATACTAACTTTAACCCAGAACATTTTTTAAAACTCACTGATAAGTATAAATGTTTATGAAAACTTTATCATTACTCTTTTTAGGAGATTCTTATATTCCTGTTTTTAGATATCTGCATTTTATGAGATTTAGGACTTTCTAGATTAGAAAAAAAGAAAATTCTAACCATGAACATGTCTGCACAAATTTAAGAACTAATATAAACTATTGTACATAAAAGACCTGTGTGCAGTAGTTACGCTTTCTCTCTAGGATCAGTCAGGAGCACCACCACTAGGTGGAAGTGATTTCCCACAAATCTAGCCTCCGGGCCTAGATATGAATGGCAAGTGTGCGTCCTGCCAGGTCTCCATAAAAGGCTGTCTCAGAGGCTTGCCACCTTGTGCCCAGGAGCACCAGCAGGCCAAGCGTAAAGAAGCCAGACTTTTGTCAGATTTTGTGATTAGAAATCACTGAAGGAGAAAAACTCCATAAATGTTTCTGCCAGAACTTGATTCTCAAAGGCCTCAGGACATTATTTACCTTAGTCCAAGAAGCAGAGAGGCCTGAATTGGACCCCAACCGTGTGTCCTCTAGACCTTCGTCACAGTAAGGACAGTGGAAAGCACAGGTGTGATGAACAAGAAGCTAAGAGGTGTGACTGTGCTGTCTGAGAGGGGCATGTTATAAATCCTAGGTATTGACTTGGGCAGGAAGTTAGCAACCAAATGCCTTGTTTCAGGACAGTGAAGCAGTGGTTCGAGCGGAAGTGGCCAACAGTGAAATGCCTCACCGAGGACGAGTACAGGGAGCAGGCCGAGGTGGAAACAGCCCGGGGCCTGGAGGACCTGCGCCAGGCCTGCCGCCAGCCCAACTTCCCAACCTGGCTGGCTGTCTCCAGGCTGCAGGACCCTAAAAAGTAAGCGCTGCTCGGCTGCGCCAGCCACAGCTTGACTCAGGACTGTTTTGAAAACAGCAGTGTTGTGGGGTGGTGTGGACGTTGGCAGAGTTCTGTCCCTCAGGACGCCAGCCTTGCAGTGGGACGGCCAGGGTCTGCGTAAATACTGCGCTGATGTGGGGTGCTGACACTAAAGTAATGAAAAATAAACCTCAATGTCAGAAAACTAGAGAAAGAAGGGACCAGCAGACACAGGGGTGCATTTGGTGGCCTCTTGGGCTCCCTTTCCCTGTGGCTGTCACATCCGCAATCCCCCTTTGCACTCGGAGTAAAAATGCCACCCTCTGTGGTAACAGTCAGGTTGCATTAAAGGGGCTGAGTAGCAAGGCCACATATTCTCCTCCAGGTAAACTTTTCTGTGCTAACATTAACTAGCGTCCTTTAAGAACAAAACAAACTGTTATTAGATTTGCAGACTTTGTCCTCGGATCAAGCCACTTGTCACCGAAGGAAGTGAGTCTGCATGAAGCCCAGTACGGGCTTGGAGGCGCCTTCCTGGAAGAGCAGCTCTTTACCCCGCAGCCCGACGGTGTCCCTGCGAGTTGACCGAATGCTGGACAAGGACGTGGGCACTGATAGAACTGGGCAGAACTGTTCTGATGGCGGCCATGGAGAAGAATAAGCCGTACTTGAAAGCAAAGCAGCCTAGACTGTGAAGAAGTTAGTGTGCGTGGCAAGTTCGGCTGCCCGCTGTCCTGGACGTGGCCACCAAGCTTCTGTGACCTCACTGACACCTGTCCTGAGTGAGGGCTTCCATTGGGAACAAGGAAGTCACATTGCTCCTCAAGGGACAGTAGAGGTGACAGGTGCCTTGTCACCAGCGGGTACTAATCCTGTCTTAATCCCTGAACCTGTCTCACAAGACTGCGTTCCTCCCCTGCATTTCGTCAGTGTCCGCGCTGGGAGAGCGCGGGGACAGGCGGCCTCTGTTCTGTACACAGTACTGGCGTGGTCAGTGGAGACTGGTGCTCAGAGCTGTGACACCCGTGTGCGCCGTGGCTCTCCTCAAAGGGAAAGAGCGTGCACGGTGGCTGACCGAATTTGACTATAGAACCCTTTTCTATGGAGTTAACATTCCTTGGGACACATGATTGGAAAATGCTACTTGATGGTAGAATTGCAGTGTGGGGACAGTAAACAGCTTGTGCAAGGGTACAGAGGCAGCCCTGGAGAACCCAGGTCCTGGGGCGCCCCCTCACCCTGCACGAAGTAGCCTTCAGACCCACGCTGGGGACCAGCCCTGCCGCCTGGGCACACGGTGCTGGCTTCCTTTTTTTAATTCTTCCAGAGTGGCCATCTGGCTATTTAATAACTGATGAAGAGAAACATTTCTTAAGATTGTATTTTACAGTTTTGAAAGGACTTCTGTATACATTCATAAGGCCCAGAAGTTACAATTATTTTTTACACATTGAAATGGAAGGCATTTGAACTTTAGTGACATCTAGAGTCATTTTTAAAAAATTGTTTTGCTATCTATGTTTGTAATGGTGTCCTACAAAACAGACGTGTGATATTTTTGACACAATTTAATTCATGATGTTAAACTTGAGCGTGAAATAAGGCCTGCGTGCTGACCCAGAGGCCAAAACAGTCCGGGGTTTGGATGCAGCAGAATGATCTGTGGGCAGAGATGCTGCTGAATTGATTCTCCGAGAATCCCCCTCAGGCATTTCCCTGATGGGGAAGTGAAGGATGAGTTTCTCTTATTAAGAGACGAATCATGGGGGAGGGACCTACAGGGAATTTTGTCACTTGATTTCCTGAGCCAGGTTTAGTAGAGCCCTCTTACCTTGTTACAGTGTCACTGCTCAGAACTTGCCAGATTGATTTTCAAATGTTGTTTCTTCTTTGAAGCAGAGCATCAGTTTTTATAGGTCAGCTTTTGCAAGAGATCTTTTAATACTGGAAGCCTTGCTGCTTTTTTGTAAACCTCATTAAATTCACTTTGTGCCTTTGCATAGACTGATTTTAAGCGATCAGCATATCTTCCATTCACTTTTATGACAGCTATTTTATAGGCACAAACAGAAGTTTTGTGCTATTTTCATTAGTCGAACCTGATTTTATTTTTTATATTTATCGGTGATGTTAGCATATGAGATACAGCAATGCCGGTGCTTATCCAGCTGCCTCCTGACAGGAGCCTGTGTCCACACTGTGGGTGTCACGTGAGCATCTGCAGGGAAGGGCAGCTCCTGGGCCCCAGTCCGCCTGGCCACCACACTAACAGCTCACACAAGAGCAAACACAGCCTTCTGGGATATCGTTTTTTATGTGTCTTTTTCAATTTCATGAATTTGCATGAGTACCACGAGAAGCTATACAATTAAAGGCTTTCCTGATATTTTCTGGTGTCTCTAAGTTATTTCAGATCTAATACAGCACTGATTACAACTCAGTTTCCTACAGCTGATGTACAGATTTTCCCCTCCACGCCCTCCTCCCTTATTTTCTCCTTTCCTTCCCTTTCTCTGCCCTGTTAAAGGCCTTGAAGCACTTTAGGGACCACGCAGTCAGCTAGCCGTGCCCCCGAGCCGGGGTGAAGCTGGCTTTGTGCTCCCCACCACCATAAGTGTGGAGTCGGGCAGAACAAAACCCTGTGTGCATTCTCGCTTACATGAGGTGCCCACAAGAGCCTTCTGTTGTTAGCAAATTGGGCCGTTTGACACTACAGGTGTGGGCGACACAGCATGGGTGGCCACGCTTAAACAATTGAATCATTCAAATGTTATTTTTAAAAGGTTTTTAAAAATACATTTTACAGATCACGAAAAATGCTTTGTGAATTCGTTATATAATTTGCCAGCACTACTTAGGGCTGAGTTAGAGGAGAGTGTCCTCCTGACATTTAGGACACTATTTGAATTTGTAGGTTTTTTTTAAAGTCTGGAAACTTAAAAAAAAATTTAGAGCTTAAAAGGTTGGAGTAGATGATGGATTAGATACATGGATGTATCTAAATACATGAATGAATAAAGATCCTGAAGTGGCACCAAGAGAAGAAACAGGATCTGACGTGAATGTGTACGTGATTAGGCCCCGGAAGTGGAGATGTGCCGTTTTATTTTGGAGCAGGATCCTGTGCACAGGTGGTATGAATGGTGCTGGGGTTTTGGGGAAGCATGAGGTGAAACAGGTACTGTTAGATGTCTCAGGAGCAGGCTTTCTGAGGGCCCTTATTGCTGGCGTGGCACTGATGAGGTAGATATGTGGGGGACTCCTGGCCTGCTTGATCAGAAGCCCGATTTCTGCCATCGTTCCTTAGGAAGATCTGTCTCCCCTTAGCCAGGTTAGAGACCTTAGTGTCCACTGGGTGGTTCGCAGTTGAAGATACAACTGGCACAGAGATAAAAGTAACCTGACTTGCAGGAGAAAGATTTTTGTGGTGTCAAATTATAAGACGCTTCCTTGGTCAGTGGGAAAAGGTGAAGGGAGTTTTTACATAGTTCACTTGTTTAATGTCATGAGGTCCGAGTCCAGTCCAAACACAGTGAGACAGGCTTGCTAATGGGGTGAGCCCTCCAGTCTGCTGGTGAAGCCACCCCTTCCGTCACCACGCCCTGCCAGCAGTCACCTGCGACCACTGGTTCTCTACTCTTTATTCTTGACCTGGCGTCCTACCCTCTTTTAGCAGGCATGCTTTTACGGAGGTCTGTGAAAATCTTCAGTCTTTCTCTGGCCTCAGAGTCAAATCATCTTTCTAAAGTAACTTTACATGGTTTTACTATGATCTTCAGTTTGGAGTGGGCATGCGTCCCAGGACCAGGCTGGGAAGATGCTTTTAGTGGGATAGCTTTTTATGAAAGAATTTCGGAGTTTTTTAGCTTTTAAGTTAATGATCAAAAGAAGACGGTTATCAACATGAATTGCATTTGCTTTCGTTGATACTTCTTAGAGAAAAAGAAAATGGACATTCCACACAGTTGTCTAGTAGCGGCTCTCTCCCCCAAGGCCTTATATGTTATGGAATTGTACTCATCATTTGTCTGTTTATCTTCTTCAGCTTATGTTTTGGTTGATTGTGCTCTTAATCAAGCAGCTTAGTACTTACAGTGCATACTGTAACCGAAAGTATTATCTATAGGATACCGCATGGCACTACAGTTTGTATGAATGATTATAAATGTAAATACCAACAAAACACTCAGATCGAGGCCCTGGTTGGGGAAAGAGCCAACACCCCTCTTGACAGGGCCCCCTGCCGCACAGCTCCATCTGTGGTGATGACACAGTGTTGGGGACATCACTTTAGCATCAGAACCGTCTGTAACGAAGACACCAAAATCACCTCACTTTCACAGGTGGCCCAAGGCTCAGAGGGTTGAGTCTTCATTCCAGATACCCTGGCTCCAGAGTCCACATTCCCAGCAGCACCCTCCAAGGGTTCCCGGGTTGGCAGGGAAGAGCTGGGCTTTCCTGGAGCTACCAGTGGGCAGAGGGAAGCTGGGGGTGCTGGGTGCCCACCTACATCGGCTGAGTGTCCCCGCTTGTCCCAACAGAAAGTCTGATGATGTTTTCTCTCCTGAGAAACTCTCCTCTCACTCCCCGCCCCCAGTGTCAACTCAGAAGGCTGGAAACTGTTGCATCATTGGGTCCGTTCTCATAGTAAACATCTCATAGCAAAGGCAGGGTGACTTTTTGGTATCAGTCATTACAGAGCACAGGACTTGTTCCATCACATCTTTATCATTTAAGAAACATTTAAAAACGGTATTTATTTTTATTTCAATACGTCCACTGTGCATGTCCAAAACAGCAGGCTTTTCAAAGAATTGTAAACACAAGATACAGTGTAAAGTTTTGACTCCCTCCAAGCAGCTTCAGAGCCACATACCGTACATACAGGGGAGGTTCAGCCCCTCACCTACTTCATTTCAGTAATTACACGAGCATAATAAATACATCTTATTTTAAAGGTCACTTAAAATGAGTCATGATAATGTACAGTACAGTACGTTTCAGTTCAAGTGCAAAAATAACTATTTGCTTAATTCTGTTGGTTACCTTATCCGGAGCCTGTGTTCTGTGATGAAGCTCAGCATCCAAGTGCAGAATTTCTGCTCCCTGATGCGGGATCAGGGAGAACCATCACAGGGAAGCCTCCTCTATAGCTCTTCCTGTCTAATCAGGACCAGAGGCCATTCCTGACTGCCATTCCTCTGTCCTGGGCTCCTCCACGGCTATCACACACAGCAGAAATGACTTCCATTCAGCTGAAGCAGCGGACCCTCCTGCCTGGTGCCTGCTGGGAGCCTCCCCTTTCATTCTGAGCAGCAGGCTTCCTGCATGATTCACCCACCTTGTTCTGACAGCAGCTGTAGCAGGCACACTTGCATGCACGAATCTGAGTTATCCAGTGTCTGTGTCTTTTTAGGAAAGAACACACTGAGACTGAGTTTTTCAGTCTTTTGACAGTACTTATCCCCCAACACCTGGTTTCTCACTTGTCAACTGTTAAAAATCATATCGTTCCCCTAGGCACTTACATCTTATACTGTTCTCTTTAAATACTACTGCTTAAGTAAAGGAACCCTTTGAAACTTAGTGATTTTTGTTTTATTCCATCCACTAAGTAAAGCCCAAACCACTATAAAATAGCAAACCGTGACCAAGGCTATTACTGTACCACCATACTCTGTAAACCCTGATCCATTAAGCCCCAGGATACTGAACTGGTTTTTTTCTTTTTTTCTTTTTAAATATTCTCTCATTTCTGGTCATTCTGAAAGTCTATTTAAAATAAAAAGCATTTTTAAAGCTCACCTTCACTTGCAGTAGTTGGTAACAGTTGTTACTGCTCAGAGAGTTGACTATTTTCATTGTACATATGTATATAAAAATATATTTGCTAGAGATATGTAGGGTTTATGACGAAACAGCTTTTTTCAAAACAAAAAGCATCTACTCACTTTCATCTGCTTACTTTTTAAATATGTTTTATAATTTTTAAATGGGTCTTAAGAGAAACAAAATTATAGATCTATTCTGTTTCTCCCAGTTTGCATGATGCAGCCAATAATAAGAAAAAATAATCCAAAGAGGGAAATTACGCCGGTACACCCGGAGAGGAACACCTGCGTACCCTGCACTTAGGGCCCCCGGGGTTTGCACCTGCCTGCACCATAAGAGCCCTTCCTCCAAGCAGCCCAGCCTGGGCCAACCTCTTCCTTCTGCCCTCCGCCAGAATGACGGAGGTGACCTTCCAGCCAGTGTGTACTGTCGCTCAGGTGTGTGTGCGCGAGCGTGTCCATGTTAATGAGTTTAGATATTCAGAAGCAAATGCGGCGTGTTCTGGGTGGGGGACCCCGACCCCTGCGGCCTGGTCGGGGAGCCCAGTTCCATGCAGGTGAGAGAGGTGCAGGATGCCCTCAGGGTCCTCCGGCAGCCCCAGGCTCCTCAGCGTCCCCACCCCCGGGGCGGACAGGGCCGGTCTGCGGGGACGGAGATGCTGCCGCAGCAACCGGAGATGGCTGGTCCCTAGATGGGTCAGAGTGGGTCTCACGAGGCACATGCCAGGCTCTGTCTGCTGGAGAGTTTTCCCGATTCTCACTGCTCACCTGGAAGAAAAACACAGATGCCCAGCCGTGAGGATGGCAAGTACAAGGGGCCCTTTGCATGGGTTCAAGTCAGATGCAGCACGTGAGGGGAGCTCAAACTGAGAGGCCTTTTCAGGGGCCGAGTCATAAAGGGTAAGGAGAGAATCGCTTACCTTTTGTGTCTTTTCCTGTGTGCAACTGCCAGGGCCGCATGAAAAACACAAAGACTATAAGCAGATGTGTCCTGAGCAAAGAGGAGCATGTTCACCCCAATACCTGGCACTCCCAGGCAAGCCACTGACTAGAAATGCAGGTCTCCTGGTGAGACTACAGAAGTCAAGAGGTGAGGACACTGTGTAATTAGAGTGAATAAGGGCCTATTCTCATCCCAGAGGGAGCTGGGGACAGACTGTCATGTAATTAAAAGCCCTATTAAGAGTAAGAAAATAAGACCTAACATCTATGTGAAAAAAGGAGGAACATAAAAAAACACTTGCGTAATTAATGGTAACTGTAAATATACACACATCAGTACCTTTTTTATAAATGCATATTGGTTTTACAAATCAGGAAACATGATTGTTTTTAAAGATGGTTTTCTTCTAAATTAGAACTCGTTACTTTTCAGTAGACGAATACCCAAAGAAAAAAGAAAAAATTTTTGTGATTGATTCTGAAATGTTAAAAAAAAAAAGTTGTCAGTGTTATGGCAAGCTTAGCAAGCTCCTGTGAAACAAGGAGCGTGCAAAAGACAACACTGCTCCTCGAGCAGCAGGCAGAACCCCTTCTCCCGCCTCACGCTCCTGCTGTAGGCTGGGAAATCCTCCCCTGGCCGCTCCTCTTTGCTCAGTGTCTAGTTTTGGGCTGCACAGAGTTTCCCTGACTTTATCATCCTCATAAACAGAGGATCGTTGATGGGGTGAAAAATTAGACTGGATTAAAGACCAAGGATATAGCCCAGAGGCACAGTGCCTGCTTGACAAGTGCAAGGTCCTAAGTTCAATTCCTGGTACCAAAAACAAAACAAAACAAAACTACATGAAGGTTTTATGTTGGTTTATAAAGCCAAGATAAATGCAACTAAGGTGCTTGGCTAAGCCTTCTCAAAAGGAAACTACTCCAGTTCCTCTCTATTTTTAAAATCTTTCCTCTATTTTTTTTCTTCTGGGTTCTCTTTTAAACTACCCTAAATATAGAGCTGATGTGACTCATCGAGTAAAAGGGAGCCATGAGTTTAAAAAGGGGGAAGTGCCTTTATTTCCTTGGCCAAACTTTCACTGAAGTCATACATACTTTCCCAAGTCACAGTACAGTTTTAACTGTTTAAGTTCCTCCTTTTTGCACTTTTCTAGGGCCAAGAAAAATCGCACATTTTTATTTTTCATATGAGTCTCTCACCAAACCATACTCCCACTGAGTTAGGGATCCTGTCAGAGCCATATGGTGGTTCAGGTTAGTATCTGACCTAATTTAAGGTCATTCCTGTTTTATACAGTACTCCCACCAGAACGCTGGGATTAGATTAATAAACATGGTTCCCCAAGCAAGAATCATATATCCTCACTACATTAGTATCAACACTGAAATGTATAGGAAAAGCACAAGGTCAGAATGGGTTTACTTATTTCAAGAATTACTATCCCTATTGTGAAGCCTTCCTGCGCTCATAAGTCAGAATTTTCCCTCCAAAAGACCTTGTAGAAACCCTATGACATAGTTATCACAGTGGATAGCAACTGTGTACATCTATTTTTCCCAACAAATAAATAACTCTTGATGGATGAAAAGCCATTGAGTATCCTCCATGAAGACAGGATTGCTAGCCCGGGTGGCAGGTTACCTGTAAAGGCTGGATCTCAGAAGCTCGGCTTTCTCTTGTCAGTTGCATGATCTCTTTAATTTGGTAGAGTGCGTAGACAAATGTCACCCAGGGAGAAGAGCTGACCCCCCAAGCTGGTTTGTTCACATCTTCCTGCTCTTCCTGGTGCTTGGTTTTCTTGGGCGGAAGTCTGGGCTCAATGCGCGGCATGACATCTTCCGACTGTTGCTGTACCAAATCGATGGTTGCTATGGGAACAGGACTGGAGGGAACAGGAATCCTTTCTGCCAACATTGTCTTATCTGGAGAGAAAACCATGTTTGAATTACTTGTCAGAATTTTCTATATATTTAAACAAACGTACAAAACAATAAGCTGGGCACGTGTAATCCCAGCTACTCCGAAGGCTGGAAAACAGGGAAAAACCAGTTTTGCTTTCTTTTTCTAACTCATTGGGATTAAAATCTCTGCAACAAGTGAGTTTTTCTCAGCAGAAGCACCTCGGGTACCCGAGGCCAAGGCTTCTGAAGGATGCCCTAGGGAGATGAGCCCTGTGCTGAGCCCCGTACATGCATTCTGCTGGTGGGTCTTTCTCACTAACAAGTTGATTTGTCTTGTTCTCATGTGCATCTTACATGTCATATAGTCTCCCTTTCAAATAATAATTTTAATAAAGGCTGTATTTGTGGCTCAGAGAAATGTTCACATTTCAGACTGAGACTTGTTCTGAAAAAGATGATAATGGCATAGAAAGTAATATCCCTCCCTCTCCCTGGTAGTCAAACCTCACACATATCTGACTTGACTCTGAAATCCTTTTAGAATACAGCCAGGGAAATATAAACTAATACTTCCTTAGTACTTTGTATCATAAATAAAACAGCAAAACTCCAGCCTACTGAACCACCAATATTTTTTCTAGCACAACAGGTAGCTTCTTTCTAAGTAGAAATCCACTGGTATATCACCGAGAAAACCCAGCCGAGGTACTGGCCTTCCAAGGAGCAGACCTTGTGGTCTGAGCCATTAGAAGCATTGAGAAAAAATGCAAATGTTTACCTTCCTCCTCATCTGGCACTGCCAGCCACTGGATCAGGGCAAAGAGCAGCAGGATCACCAAGCAGGCCATGCCAATTCCCCGGAAGGTTGCGGCAGCCCCTTTGAAAACAAGCAGAAAATGCCACAGAGAAATTCCCAAAGGTGCAGGGAGCCCTCCTCCAAAACTCAGCGTTCTCAGATTTGGAGCAAAGAAAGCAAGCTTTCAATGCGCCAGAGAGATGTGCCCTGCACCCAGCTCCTGGTATGATAAAAGCTCGGGCTGGAGCGGTGTCAGGAGCCCCAGGTGCTGTGGTGCTGTTACTGACCAGCTATAGAACCACACATCAAAAGGACCATCAGCGAGTCCTGCACTCATGATACATAGTGTCCAGGGGCTCTGTCCTCTTCACAAAGACCACGGCCCACTGCTAGCACACAGCCCTGCTGATCTGTAGTTTTGAACACACAGCTTCAATAGTATGCAAAGTCTCATGTCCCTGTGTCCCTGCATAGTGACCGAGGAGTCAAGAACCATGGAGCACAATCATCTCATTTCCACCTTAGCCCTGTATTTCCAGAAAAGGAGACTGGATAAGGGGACAGTGTTATCCAGATGCATGGACAGTATCAAAGACAGCCTGTACTCAGATTTCCCTGGGCCACAGTCTCCTGATGGAACAACAGTGATGAATTTTCTTCCTTTAGCATTATTGTCAGCAGGCTTAGGGCACCTTGCTTTAAATGCAAGCCCCATGTGCTAATTCACTGGGGGGTCGTGTGGCCTCTGGAAGGTATCTGTGTATCATCTCGGGCTTGCTCCTGTCGACTTGACTAGGATCATGCTTTGTAATTTCGACTACCAGGGAATCTACAGAGAACATAAATACTGAAGTTTAGCTTCTGGCAATCTTTAGCAATAATTTGAGTGTTAATTGAGGTACTGAATAATCACATTTTCACCACAGAAAGAGAGAACACCGTCCTCACCGAAGTAGTTGACCAGCACGCCTCCGATCATGGCACCGCAGCCTCGGCCCAGCCCCAGGTGCAGGCCCTGTAGGATGCCCTGGGCAGATGTCCGCAGCTCTGGGGGCACGGCCGCACTGAGGTACGAGATGCAGGCAGCCCAGATGGCCGCGTGGGTCACCCCTGGGGAGGAAGAGAGAAGGAATGGAGTCTTGCTCAAAGCTCCTTTAGTTACTCTTCACTGAAATGTGAGTTACTTACTGAATGAGGCACCTATTTTATGTATGTGTATACATATGTGCATGGATGAATATGCATGTTATGGTAAAATACACGTAACAAAATTTTACCATTTTAACCATTTTTAAACATGCAGTTCAGTGGCAATAAGGACACTCACAGTGTTACAAGGCCCCCATCTTCATCATCTCCAGAACTTTATTTTTAAAAATTTTTTTTATTTTAAAGAGATTAAGATAAGAGGACATAACAAAGCAGATCAGCACAGAACAATTTAAGCAACACAGTACTTCACCACCATACAACCGGATATAACAGTAGCTACCATGACGTCTCTTTCCTTGAAATAGTTGAGCATACCTTCATATACAATGGTGTCAAACGTAACAAAATAATATAAAACCATTAAAGAGAATGAAAGTATTACAGGGCATTCAGAACCAAATAACAGGAAATGAACAATGGTTACTATATTATCTCATTGTCCATAAAAAAAATTTGTTTATACTACCACACATAATAAAATCCAGTAAGATACAACATGATAGAACCAGTGGAAACAGAAGAACAAAAGTATGGTAGGACTTCAAAACAAGATAATATTACATCAGCCCTGGCTATTATAATGCCTTGTTTTCTTCAAAATAGCTGTTCATACTATCACAGATAATAAAATCAACCCAGGATAAAACCATTCCAACTAATGAATGGAAACATGATAAGGCCTCAAAGCAATATAATGGGGAATCATGATTCCCATAAACTTTTATGTACTCTTACTATTTCTTACACTAGGGAGACTATAAAGTATTTATACATGTGAGTTTGCTTTATTTTGCTTATGAGTATGGTCTCAAGTTGCATCCACTTATTTATAAATATCTCAATGTGATCATTCTTTATAGTGAGTAGTACTTCATTGCATAAAAATACAACTTTTTTTATCCATTCCTCAGTTGTTGGACACTTAGGTTGTTTCCAACATCTGGCTATTATAAATTGTGCTGCTATAAACATGGGTGCACATACATCACTGTGGTATGGTGTTTTTATACCCAGTTTCATTCCCAGTTCTGGGAATATGCCTAGAAGTGGAATAGCTGGATCAAATGGGACTTCCAATCCCAGCCTTTTGAGAAATCTCCAGACTGACCTCCACAATGGTTGCACCAGTCTACACTGACACCAACAGTGCAGGAGAGTTCCGTTTTCCCCACAGTCTCTCCAGCATTTGTTGTTAGTAAGTAGTTTTCTTGATCCTGGCCATTCTTTCTAGAGTGAGATGGAATCTCAGTGTGGTTTTAATTTGCACTTCTCTAATGAGTAATGATGATGCACATTTTTTCATGTATTTATTTGCCATTTGTATTTCTTCATCTGAGAATTGTGTATTCACCTCAGATGCCCATTTTTGGATTGGATCTTTGAATTTTGAGGGTCTGATTTTTTTTAAAATTCTTTATATGTTTTAGACAAAAGACCTTTGTCTGAGGGACAGTTCATTAAGTTTTTTTTTTTCCAGTTTGTGGGTCTTTTCACTATGCTGGAGATTTCTTAACATGCAGAAACTTTTTAATAAGATGTGACCCCAGCTATTGATTCTGGGAAGTATTTCATATACAGTTTGATTCCTGTTCATGAATTCTCTAGCTACCCCAGATTTTTACCCAATTTGTCTTCCAACAGATTTAGGGTTTCTGTTTTAATATTCAGATATTTGATCCATTTAGATTTCAGTTTAGTACATGGTGATAGGCTTGGATCTAGTTTTAGCATATGGAGAGCTAGTTTTCCCAGAAGCATTTATTAAAGAGACGGTCATTCTTCCAGTGAACATGGTTGGCTCCTTTATCAAAGATAAGGTGGTTGAGTGTGTTTGCAGTTGTGGTTGTATCTTGTAATCTGTTCCACTGATCTTCATTCAGATCTGTTTTGATTCCAGCACCATGTTGATTTTACTACAGTTGCTTTGTAGTATAACTTCAATTTAGGGATTGTGAGGCCTTCAGCCCTGCCTTTGCTGCTGAGAACTGTCTTTGCTATTCTAGGTCTCTTCTGATTCCAGATGAATTTTAGGAGTAATTTCTCTAGATCTATGAGGTATGTTGATGTTATTTTCATTGGGATTGCATTAAATCTGTGTAACAGTTTTGGGAGAATGGCCATTTTTACAATATTTATTCTTCCTATCCATGAACAAAGGATGTCTTTCCATTTTCTGAGATCCTCTTCGATTTCTTTTAGGGAATTATAATTTTCCCCATAGATCTTTTACATCTTTTGTGAGATTAATTCCTATTTCATTTTTTTGGATGCTAGTGTGAAGGGTATGGCTCCTCTTATTTCTCTCACAGTAATTTTGCTATTAGTGTATAGAAATGCTATTGATTTTTGAGTATTGATTTTGTGTCCAGCTACATTGCTGAATTTATTTATTATATCTAGGAGAAGTTCAATGGGCTTTGGGAGTCTTCTATTTAGAGTATCATGTCACCTGAAAATGATAATTTAACTTCGTCTTTTCCTACTTTTACCCCACTTATTTCTCTTTCTTGTCTAATGGCTAGTATTTCCAATACTATATTAAATAGGAGCAGTAATAAGGGACATCCTTGTCTTATGCCTGATTTTAAGGTAAAGGCCTTCAGTTTTTGGTTATTTAATATGATGCTGGCTGTTGGTTTGTCATAGATGGCCTTTATCATATTGAAGTAAAGACCATCTATTCCAATTTTCTGTAAGGTTCTTATCATTAATGAGTGTTGGACCTTATCAAAAGCTTTTTCTGCATCTATAGAAATGATCATGTGATTCTTACTTTGGCTTTATTGATATGGTAGATTACATTTATTGATTTACACATGTTGAACCATCCCTGCATGCCTGGGATAAATCCCACTTGGTCATGGTGTATAATCTTCTTGATGATTTGCTGCATCCTGTTTGCCAATATTTTATTGAGGATTTTTGCATCTATGTTCATTAGGGAGATTGGCCTGTAGTTCTCTTTTTTAGTTGGGTCTTTCTCAAGTTTTGGTACTAGAGTAATATGTGCTTCCAGGAATGACTTAGGAAGGATTGCTTCCCTTTCAATTTCATTGAAGAGTTTGAGGAGTGTCGGTATTAGGTCTTCTTTGTATTTCTTGTAGAATGCCGCAGTGAATCTTGTCTGGGCCTGGGCTCTTCTTTGTAGATAAGGACTTAATTACATTTCCAATTTCATTAATAGAAATTGGGTTATTTAGCAGTTTTACATCTTCTTGACCTAGCTTTGGTACTTCATATGTTTCTTAGGGATCTGTCTATCTCTTCTGTATTATCAAACCTATGAGTAGAGGTTTTCGAAATAGGTATTGATGATCTTCTGTATTTCTACAGAGTCTGTAGTGATTTCACCTTTTTCATTCCTTATTGCATGAATTTGAGCTTTTTCTTCCCTTTTAAAAATAAGGTTGGCTAGGGGCTTATAAATTTTATTTATTCTTTTAAAGAACCAGCTCCTTGATTCATTGATTCTTTGGATTGTTTTCTTAGTCTCTATTGCATTAATTTCTGCTCTGATTTTTATAATTTCCTCCCTTCTTTTGGCTTTGGGCTTGACTTGTTCTTCTTTTTCTAGATGTTTGAGGTGTAGCATCAGGTTATTTATTTGTATTTGTTCTGTTTTCCTTATGTGGGAACTTACTGCAATAAATTTTCCTCTGAGGACTGCTTTCATTGCATCCCACAGATTCCAGTAAGTTGTGTTTGTATTTTTGTTTGCTTGTAGGTATTGTTTACTTTCTTCTTTAATTTCCCCTGTGACCTACTGATTGCTCAAGAGTGTATTATTCAATTTCCATGTGTTTGTGGGGTTTTTGCAGTTTCTTTTATCATTAATTTCTAGTTTTATGGCGCTATGATCTGATAACATGCATGGAATAATTTCAATTCTTTTGCATTTATTTAAATATGTTCCGTGGGCTAGTATATGGTCTATTTTAGAGAATGCCCCATGTACTGCTGAGAAGAATGTATATTCTGATGTTGTTGGATGGAACACTCTGTATATGTCTATCAAGTCCATTTGTTCACAAGTGTGATTCAGTTCTATTATTTCTTTGCTGATTTTCTGTCTGGTTGATCTGTCCCTTGGTGTCAATGGTGTGTTAAGGTCTCCTGTGTTTTATTAATAATTGTGTTATTGCTTATTGGATTTTTCATTTCTATTAATACTTGCTTTGTATAACTGGGTACTCTGGAATTTGGTGCATATATATTTAAGATTATTATCTCTTCCTCTTGAAGTTTTCCCCTGACCAGTATGTAGTGACCTTCTTTATCTCTTAGTATCATTCTTGGTTTGAAGTTCACTTGTCTGCAAACCGAATAGCTACCCCCGCCTTTTTTTTACAGTTCCTGTTGCATGAAGTATTGTTTTCCATCTTCTGACTTTCAGTCTGTGAGTTTCTTTTTGGGTTAGATAGGTTTCTTGCAGACAGTATATGGTTGGATGTTGTTTCTTGATCCATTCTGCCAGGCTGCTTCTTTTAATTGGTGAATTGAGACCATTTACATTAATGGTTATAACTGTTATATATTGGCTTATTGTTGACATGTTATCTTTCTGCTGCTGCATCTTTATCTTTCCATTCTGTTTAATTGTCTGCCTTGCTTAGTGGTTTTTTCCTATGTGTATCTAAACTGTTTTTCAGTATTCTTTGCAGGGTTGGATTGGTGATCATGAAGTTCTTCAGCTGTTCTTTGTCATGGAAGTATCTTATTTCTCCATCAATTTTGAAGGACAGTTTTTCAGGGTACATCAGTCTAGGTTGGAAATCATTTTCCTTTAGGATCTGAAATACTTCACTCCATGCTCTTCTTGACATCATTGTTTGTGCTGAGAAGTCTGCTATGATTCTGATAGGTTTTCCTTTATAGGTGATCTGTCTTTTGCCTCTAAC